GCTGTGTCTATAGACGCCCTATAGTGCTACAGAGAATTTGCTGTGTCTATAGACGCCCTATAGTGCTACAGAGAATTTGCTGTGTCTATAGACGCCCTATAGTGCTACAGAGAATTTGCTGTGTCTATAGACGCCCTATAGTGCTACAGAGAATTTGCTGTGTCTATAGAAGCCCTATAGTGCTACAGAGAATTTGCTGTGTCTATAGAAGCCCTATAGTGCTACAGAGAATTTTAGAAACACAGGGACCCATTCCCCAAGTCATATTTTTGATTGTGTGGCAAAATGTTCCGATGACAAAAAGATGTGTGTTGTTTTACAAAAGACATTTTTGAAAGAATTCCTGTCCTCTGAGGGAAATGTTTCCAAAACCTTGTGCACCACTACTGAAGTTAATTTCTAGTTGAATGTCAACTGTGATGAAGTTGATGACAGAGATCTTGTCAGGACACCGTGCCACCACCAATGGCACAGTCAACATCAGCTTTGAATGTTTGCAATATGACCATCAATGGCTCACTTCTGGCCAGAGCTTGTCTTGTCACAGGTTATTTCAAAGTTACTTGACTTTAGATTGTCTACCATTCGTAATTTAAGGGTAAATGTCAGGGAATCCATTGGTGGCTACAAGTTTCTTCACCCAGTTTTAAAATAATAATTATTTACACTTACTCCTTGTACTGGTAATTGAAATAATAAATTAATAATGGTGATTATATTCAATGCCCTACCATTAATTACAGTAAGTATTTTCAAAGCATTAGATCAGACTTAACCTTCTGTTAGCACAGTACACTTCCAGAATGGCAAAATTTTATAACAATAGACGGCACAACTGTTTTAGTTGGTGCCATGCTATTAAATCTCTCTGGGAACTCTCATACATTAATGACCTACCGGAGAAACTGACATCACAGGCAAGACTGTTTGCAGATGACACAGCAGTGTATAGGACGATCGCCAACAGATCTGACCAGGACCAGCTACAACAGGATCTCAATCTGTTAGCTGAGTGGGAGATGAGCTGGGACATGGAATTTCACCCTGCCAAGTGCCAGACACTATCAATCTCTAGAAGTTGTACTCCTCTACACTACCAATACAAACTGCACGGCCATATTCTTGAGCAAGTTTCCTCCGTAAAGTACCTGGGTGTTACCATTCAAAGAGAGGTCCGATGGGATGAACATATTAACAATGTATGTAACCAAGCAAACAAGACCCTAGGGTTCTTAAGGCGAAATCTAAAGATTGGCAACTCCTGTGTGAAAGAAAGAGCATATAAAGCCTTTATCCGTCCGATTTTAGATTATGCATCTTCAGTCTGGGACCCATTTACCCAGAAGAGCATTGACAGGTTGGAGGCGGTCCAGCGACGAGCAGCACGCTTTGTCCTAAACCGCTACAGGAATACCTCTAGTGTTGGCAGCATGCTAGAAACACTAGGCTGGTCACCATTGGAGAAACGACGACGACAATCCAGGCTCTCCATGATGTACAAGATAAATAATGGGCTGGTCCACTGTTCCAGTATTAAACAGAAACTCGTACCTCTCCCCCATAGACAGCGACGAGGCCATGACAGGCAATTCAGGCTCATACCAGCAAGAAGCCAGTATAGGAGCTGCTCATTCCTGCCCAAGACAATCAGGGACTGGAACCATCTTTCAAAAGGAACAGTTGAGGCGACAACACTAGACACATTTGTGTCTATTGACACATTTGTGTCTATTGCCTCAAGCCTTCAAACCCCTAGTGCATTATTTCCTCATCACCACCAGTAACAGAAACATTGCAAATCCCATCTACATGCATAGGAGCCAAAATGATCAATAAATTGATCGTGGGCCCTTAAGATATAGAAGAAGAAGAAGAACTGTTCTGCCAACTTTGTTCAAACTGTCTCCTTCATGACCACTTGAGTATGAGTGAAAGTAATGCTCAACTATAAATACTTTTTCACGTGTGTAGAGACACATTTCCAACCACTGCCCACCACTAAGAGACGTGGTGGCTGGAAATAAGTACAGTTAACAGATGCTTGCACACGCTCAAGATTCTGTGAGTTAACTGCATATTTGGGCATACTGTACCATGAAAGTATTGTTTGAAGCTTTTAGGTCATTTTTGTGTATGTGCAGTACTACTGGTATTAATTAAAAATGTTTATGAAAAAAGACAAAAATTTCCTTTGTATTAAAATAAACTCAATACATTTGTAACTTTTTATTTTTCAGTCCAACAAACATGGAAAATAGTTGGCAGACAATTACTGTGTGAAAAAGATCAGGAGTATTCTTTTATCAAATTCTCATTGGCTTAGATGTTTTTTTAAAAAAAATAGATAATTAAATTCTGCATTTTAACAAGAATATCACACTTAGTTTATGTTACAACTAATCGGTGTTACCCTTGAAAACAAATCATATTTAAAAAATTCAGATATGTGAGCAAGTTATTTTCACAGCTACCTAAGAGTAAGAGTAGCCATTTCAAGCTGAGCTAGATAACAAGTAAAACAAGCACAAAAAATTATTATTTTCAGTCATATCAGTTGTAAAGAGTGAAGTAGAATGCTTTTAAATGAGATGCTCCTTACATCGCAGATAATATAAGGCCAATCAATATTAACTGACAATCAAAATATAGCAACTAGTCTCAATATTTACATGATTTAATTGTATTAAGAGTCTAGAGTGAAAACAAATAAAAATAAGTTTTTTGTATGTCAATTTATGAGGAAAGACCACTATTATTGTTTTATGCTGTAAAGGTTCATAAAAAGGTTCCTTTGCTTTATCAAACCCTGACAAATATTCATCAAAGGTGAACGATCACAAAGTACCTATAGTCCATAGCTACCATTTTCTCTACATTTTTACTTCTTTTTTTTTAAAGCACAGCTCCCAACAAGCTGTACAGTATAAGAAAAGTAACGTTGTAGTTGTATGGTTATAAAAAATTTCCAACAAAAATACCTCTCCCCAAAGCAGGTCAAGTCATTCATTGTGAAGCACTTTAATTAATTGCCTTATCATTTTATAGAATTGGTCCCTGGTCCCCACATTTCACTCAAAATTGAAAGATTATTTTAAGGCTTGTCTGATGCTAGAGTTCTTCTTCTTCTATATCTTAAGGGCCCACGATCAATTTATATTCCTATTAAAATGTTTCAATACATTAAATAATGGAATCTTGGTCAGTACGTAAACAAAATTCAAATTTCATCTTTAAGTGTTTGATGAAATTTCTAATTTTCTGTGCCCAGTCAATTCCATGTCATTCAAAAGTAGATTAGGGAAAGCTGCTATGTAAAGCATTACAAGTCATTGTGATTGAGACAAGATTTTCAACAATAAGTCATTGTGGTTAAGTCAAGGTTTTCATCAATAAGTCATTGTGGTTAAGACAAGGTTTTCAACATTTCACTCGTTAACAGAAAAATGACAACAACAAAAGTTTATGTAAAATAACTAATTTATGTCAATTTCATAACTTAAAATCAAATGATTCTTTTTGAACAATCTATTCCTTTTGAAATGAACATTACTTTTAGTTTGTAGCTGTCTAATATAGAATCTTCATAAGGTTACTTTGGAATGGCATACATTTTTAATGCACTTTGACATAACATAAACACATTGTTGTAAAATGGGACAAAATTGGTCCAAATAATAGATAATTGAATGTTTTTTTCCCCTTAAAAATGGTGGTTTCTGGTAAAGCAAAAGGCACCCACCCCTCCCTGTTTCTGGTAAAGCAAAAGGCTCCCCCTCCCCCTAAAACAGTTGAAGTGTTATGCTACTAGTATATGAGTCTTGTTGCACATATTCTGGTAGTTCACTGTTTTTTTACTCACTGTAATTTAAAATTTCCATAATTGACTTAGAATTGTATGAAGTGAGGCCAGTGTCTTGTATTCCAATTATAAGTTATATAAATAGTCATTCTTTTATTGTGTTAAAACATTAGTTATTTGACAGTGATTATTTTATTTTGTTAAAATAAAATATGAGATATTTGACAGTATGTTATGTGAATGAATAAAGCTATTTTGCTATAAATTGCCTTCGTGTTGCTTTTGTTAATGTTTTGCAGATCTTAAGAAAGATTTTTAAAATATAAACCTCATATTTTTGTTAACGTATTATCAAACATCAACAAGGCAAATGTGCATTTCTTATCCCAGATATGATATATGATATGATAAATAACCATAGTTGGTAGCCATCAATGTTAACTAACATACAGTTTTTCCAATTCCCCAGTTTTATGAATATATGAAACTGTTGTATAATATTAACAGAACCGTGATTGGTAATGAAATATTGCATTGAACTAATCCAGGATGCTTATGTCATTTACTACTAATGGTATACCAGTCTGGCACTTGTTTTTTTCACTAACTGGTAACTGTGGGAATAAACAATTAGAAAGCCCAATCTCAGTTGTTTCTTAAGGGCAAGTATTTACACAAGCTGTGAAGAGATATGAGTTGGACTGTTGTGTTTATCTTGTAGAAGCACTCTGAAGCCATGCATCAATCAGTCACATGATAGGCCAAAGATATTGATCAGTATCATGATAAGCCAAAGATCTACTAATTTTGAATGTTGATACGAAATGAAGCTTTGACAGCTCTGTGATCTGAGGCAGCTTCGGACCTAAGTGTTGAAAACAAATAATTCTGTCTGTACAAAATATAAATTTAAATGTACACATAAAAAAACATTGAACAAAGTTTGCTTAAATTCTTAAGTATTATTTGATGAAGACTGAAGACATTATATTTCTAGCAACAATTTTTTCCCCTAAAGCTAATTAGAAAGTTTAAGTCCCAATTTATTTCATTTTTATCCAAAACTAATGATAAAGCCTAGGTCCTCATCTATTACACGTTTATATCTCTCTTAAAAAATCAATCCTGAATATAAATCGGTGTATCGGATAATTTCATTTCCACCCCTTAATCTTTTGTTAAAAAATATGTTCATAAATCCTTACTTAGTTTTGTCTTGGACAACTTCAATATTCTCAGGTGTAACTTTTTCAGTTTGTTTCAAAAAAATATAATCAATCTGAAAAATTAAATAAAAAACTTGATATGACAGCAATGTCAATCATGAAACAACATAAAAAAACAAAAACTTCAGTATTTAATGAAATTACATAGATGTGAAACTTGACTGATGGTGTAATAACTCTGTAAAATATATGTGTACACTGATTGATAATATATTCTCACTAGAAATAAAATGTATGTGAACCTTGACTAAGAATATAGCCCATTGTTTATAATTTATAGACAGTTACTTGAGCTACAATTTTCTTGTTTTTTCTGTTGGTCATTTGTAATTTTTTCTTTGCCCTTACTTTTATTCTTTGTCCATAAAATGTAGATTAAATGAAGAGATTTCAAAAGATGAACTCATTAATAGCAAAAAAGAATGATTTACTCGTTTAGAAAGTTCTGCTTCTATACAGCTGAATGTAAAACCAAAGTCCTCAGGCCGTAAGTAACTCCATGTATCTAGTAGCATTGTATTTTCTGTTAACATTCTGAAAAAACACATGCAGCCATGATCAATCAAAGTAACTTGATTTGATAGCAAAATTAAAGATTTTTAAAAACCTGGTGAGTTTTTAACAACTGTTATCATAACATTTCTTGCAATGACAGAACTACTGTCACCACACCATTTCTTGCTATGATTGATTGATTGATTGATTGGATATTTATATAGCACTGGCATCCACGCTACTTTAGCATGCTCACTGCGCTCTGGTTTTCTTTAATCTATTTAAACAAAAAAGTTTTTAAATGTTTCTTAAATGATTTTTTTATCATTTTCAATTCCGCTCAAAGATTGAGGCAAACCGTTCCATAATTTTGGCGCTATCAAAAGAGCGCACTCCTTAAGACTTTTTTCTGTGTTCATCCACACTGGGAATTTTCAGTAAGGATTGTGTTGAAGACCCCAGGTTCTTTAAGGATACATGTTTATTTCTTGCTATGACAGAACTACTGTCATAACACCATTCCTGCAATGACAGAGCAACTGTCATCACAATATCCAGCTATAACAAAGCAAATTTTTTAAATTTCATAAAAATCAATTCATCACTAATTTAAAGACAATCCCAAAAAGTATATTCCAGAAAAAAAAGTATCTCATTTACAAAAAAGTATATTCCAGAAAAAAAAGTATCTCATTTACCGTACTCATCAATTCATTTAAAAAAACCACACCATTTAATCTTGATAACATCAGTTTACCATCATTTTTCAACAAAACAAACTAAAGTAAATAGTACTTTGAAACACTTATCACTATAGACCAGTGGTTCTCAACTTTTGTAATGCTTACAGTTCCTTATATTGTGGCGACCCCCAACCATAAAATTATTTTCGTTGCTACTTCATACCTGTAATTTTGCTTCTGTTATGAATCGCAATGTTAATATCTGATACGCAGGATGTATTTTGATTGTTACAAATTGAAAATAATTAAAGCATAATGATTAATCACAAAAAACAATAGGTAATTATAAATTGTGAAATAGTTATTTCTAATTACCAATAAATGAAATTTTGTCTTGAAGCATGGTGTAGCATGGGTAACAGTCTTAACATAACAACAGTAAACTACTTTGCTACATTTTGCGACAATATGCGTAAAAAGCCATCGTCAGTGGGAAGGTGGAGAATTTTTCTTTTTTACCAGATAAGAAAAACTTCTATATTTAGACATGATTACCAACAAGCTGGAAAACCCTGTTTCACAAAAATATGATGTTGGAAATGGAAGGAAAAGTCGCAACACAGTCTCATGCAGAACAGGATATGACTGCAAACACCTGATCCAGAATTGTGTAACTGGCATTGGAAATCAGTTCACGCTGCATCACTGTTAATAAGTTCAATGAACTTCTCTTGTGTTGACTCAGGAACATCTTCAACTTTGACTGTGAATGGAATTCTGGCAAGTGCAAATGGGGTGTCAAGTAGATTTGGAAAGTACGATGAAATTTCATCTCCAAGCATGTGCAAGTGTTCCTTCACAGAATTATCATCGTTATCCCTTTGGTTCAATGTCATGTTCCTCAAAGAAACCAGATAAGAGAGGCACCATGTAAATTTTATTTTCCTCCAATTTTTATTGGCCAAAGCTGAAATTAAAATTTAAATGATCGCATCTTTTCAGACAAATCGAGACATGTTGCATTTGGTCATTGCAGTGATAAATTTAACTCGATATGGCAAAGATGTCATCCAAGTAAGCTATTTTCTGCAGTTCACTTTTATCACAAAAAAGAGCTTCGAACTGCAGTCTTGCATTCTGATTTAATAAGTTTTTGAGTTTATCACGAAGCTCCAAAACACGTTTTACAATCTTTCCTTTTGACAACCAACTAACTTCAGTGTGAAATAGCAGAGCATTGTTCGGCTCATCCAACTCGTTGCACAGTTACGAAAACAGTCGACTGTTTAAAGTGCTCACCTTTACAAAATTGACAGAACTTATGACAGAATTTATGACGCTATTAGTTACTTCTTGTAACCCTCGTGGCAGCGTCTTCATTGCTAATATTAGCTGATGAATCAATCAGTGAATTTCGATGACTTTTGGTGACTCATTCAGTAACAAATGTTGACATCCCAGCATTGCTGGAGCACCATCTATGACATCCCAGCATAGCTGGAGCACCATCTATGACATCCTAGCATAGCTGGAGCACCATCTATGACATCGTAGCATTGCTGGAGCACCATCTATGACATCCTAGCATTGCTGGAGCACCATCTATGACATCCTAGCATAGCTGGAGCACCATCTGTTACATCCTAGCATTGCTGGAGCACCATCTATGACGTTCTAGCATTGCTGGAGCACCATCTATGACGTCCTAGCATTGCTGGAGCACCATCTGTGCAAACACCACAAACCTTTTCCCAAGAGATCGTATGATTTTTCAGACATAAACCAACTGTGCAGTAGTTGTCATTTCAAGAGGTTTGAAAAAAAGAAACTCATCTTTAAAGTCGCCATCATTAGTATACCTCACGTAAACCAGTAACTGTGAACATTTTGCAACGTCTGTAGATTCGTCCAGTTGGACGCTACATACTGGAAGTGGAGCAGATTAAATTTCCTGTATTACGTAATCAAGAATATCATCAGACACGTCATCTGCTCTTCTTCTAACAGTGTCGTTAGATAAGGAAATTGAACTCAGTTTAGTCACAAATTCGTCACCAATCATAATGAAAATTTGTGACATGTCTTTTTTTAGCCAGACCAAATCAATCGGTTTCTAAGACCATCGGAAATGTGTGTTTTTCAATGGTCTTAGGCGACCCTTAAAGGGGAGAGAACTGCTGCTATAGACAGAACATACTTCAGACCTGATCGCCTTTTCCTCTGGCGTTGCATTGAGATCTCCCATAAGGATGGCTGGCTCGTCCCCACAACTCAACATAAACTCTAAAATCTGCTTGACAGATTCTTCTCTGGCCTCATGACTCAGCGACAAATGTGTGTTGAAAATATGAACCTAAAATAATCAGAGTCAGAATTTGATTTTATAAATAGTTCCTCCTGCTATCTATAAAATTAATTGGAAAGAAGAAAAAAAAAAGGATTTATTTTTATGTAATGCACTGTTTAAATTGTGAGCACCCGCAATAATTAAATTAAATTTAGTATTGTGAATTTCAGCATTTAAGTTTAATTTAAAGTAGAAAGTTTTAATAACAAAATTAAAATAGTTCAAATAGGGTTTCATACCAATTATTTGACATGTGTTACATATTAATAATAATAATATGTCCAAGTGTGGATGTTTACCTTTCCAACAATGGGCATCTCAATGATAACATGTAAACACACCCTTTGATTCTGATCTGCTGAATTGCTCTGATTTCTGAGAGAGAATAATCTTTTATCAAACTTTAGTCCTTTAATACTTGACATTCAAAGTACATTTTAGCAATACATTCTGTACATAAAATAAAACAGTGGAACTAAACAAATGGGCTATATTTTCTTAGTTGAACAGTTTCCGTATGGGAGATTTGATCTATAATTACCTGAATAAAAGTAAGTAGTCGTGATGTATTATGGGAAATTTAGAGAAAATGGCTAAACCTTCTTCTGTTCTTCCTTGCTCAAGACTATTGCCTTGCATTTGTGCTGGCTGATAGACAAACTGTGATGATTGAGAAATAATTCCTTTATACAAAATTAAATATGTTAACTATTAAAAACTGTGTGATGCTGTCATTGTGCCGAAAGTGAAAGTAATACACATATTTCCTTAAACTTCATATTTTAAAAATATCTAGTGCCGGTACCAGGTAGTATAAGGAAAAAATGCTTTCCTTTAAAATTAAATAAATTACCTGATAATCATGTAATTGGGAAATAAGGTATTTCATTTGACTAGGGCCCAGATTTTCTCCTAATGGAGTCTCAAAACGCACTTCTTGAAAAGAGACAATATCTGGGTTAGCCTGTTTAAGCAGCTGAGAAGAATCGGAGAGAAAAAAATTAGATTCAGTAACTACACATTTTTAGCCTCAATCAGAGCTTTATGATTATGTGTAACAAGAGAATGATCTCAAAAAGCATTTTAATAAGTCATAGGAGATTAATTTAAATAAGGGTAAAAAATATCTAAGTTCTAGCTTACCCCGGCCAAGGCATACATTCTGTTAGGATATTCTCTGCTGTCCTTGTGATATGTGTTAAAATTCCAAATATTGTAACTCATAACACTGAAACTTGACAACTTCTTTGAGGAACATCCTTGAGTTCCTTTTTCATTCTTATAATGGTTGGAAGATGGTTGGCAAATGTGTGAGCGTCCATTACATTGATGAAGTGAACAACAGTTTGAGGCTTGTGATAACCAAAGTCCTTTGTTCCTACTCAAGTTTGACAGTACGTGTAGGTTTTTGTTGTGTTCTTTTGAACCACAAATAGTGCCGCCACAAGGTTCTACCCCCTTAGCATAATCTGAGCTGCGTACATCATAAAATGTATGAGAATAGACGTAAAGCTCTTCTTGGTGAGTTTGTGTGGCTGTTAAAAAATGAAGAGTCGTAGATTCATTCAAAACAGAAGCCAGGTGTAAATTGTAAGTGACTCCAAATGATACCGGTACAGAAACTGGGTGCTCATGACCTTGCTGATCTAAAACAAGTCTGGTAAGGACAAGAGGTGTATGGTCTGTGTCACTGAACCAGAGGTCCTGTAGGAACAATTAGTTGATTCAGTGTGATGTTTTATCTAAAAAAAAAATTTTTTTGAGAAAAAAATGACTTGAAGTTGGACTTTGTTTTAAAAACATTGTACTAAGAATTCTATTTGTTTACACTAAAAATAATGGATTGCGGTAAAGTTATGGTTTTAACACAAGCACCACATTAAATGAATTTTTGTTTTAGTTTAGGTTGCACTGATTATCAAATTGGCTTATCACCGATTTATTGGCCTCCAATAATCAGCTCATGCCAATTAATAGACGGCCAAATAATTATTTTGTATTTGGTTTTGAAATGCCTATTTTAATGGCCTAATTATAACTTGTGAGTAATTTTTTTATACTATTTTATAACGAATTATAATATAATATATTATCGAAAATAATTAGTCACAAATGCTAGCGCTAGGGGATGGGCAGCAAGGGGGAAGGAAATGTATGAAATTACACTTAGTCTTATACATACCTAAGCAGACTTATTCGTATACAAACCTAAGCAGACTTAGTCTTATACATACCTAAGCAGACTTAATCTTATACATACCTTTGCAGACTTAGTCTTATACATACCTATGCAGACTTAGTCTTAAACATACCTATGCAGACTTAGTCTTAAACATACCTAAACTTGTACAAATGTGATAAAAATCCCATTGAAAAATCCAATATCCCATTAAAAATGTCTAAGATTTACTACTAGCATCCTGAGAATTTTTAGAAGGCTGATTAGTCAATTAATCGTCCACCAAAAGCCAATTATCTATTTATATGCAAAATGGCTGATTACCAATAACTTGCAAATTTATTGGTGTAACCCTAGATTGCATAAAATTCAAAATAAATTCAAAATATAACTATCATGAGCTCTCATCAATGTATCACTCTACAATTAATGAGAAAATGAATATTTAACTACACTTACAATTTGAGTTGCATATCTAAAGGAAAATTGTTGTGCAGAAAAACTTGAGTGTCGCTCCCGAATAAATTTAAAAGACTCCTGCAAAATGATTTAAATTATATTTATCTTTTGTTTTATTAGAATATACTCATATAAAATAGCACAAGAGACAGACAAAGTTAACATTTAATAACAACTTCTTGTTCTGTCATATAAGGAGAAGCATACATTAGAAGCATTAATTATTCATACATGTAGGGTCGTGCAAAGGAGAACCTGCACCCAGGGTGAAGTCTGAAAATGGCGTCCCCCCCCCCACCCTTGTTTGATCAATAAAATGATATGATAAATGATATTAATATTTTTATGTAATCACGCCAACCTGCTCATCCCTTATTATGTACAGTTACTCAACCTTAACCCTGCACAAATTTTGCAACACAATTTTTTTTTTATTTATATACTTGTTCCTGATTTATAAAGAAAAATAAATAATTCAGTTACATTCTTAAAAAATAGTCATTCTCTTTTAAAAATTTTAAATAATTTTTTTGTTACCTTTGTAATATGAGTGACATCTTTTGAGTCTGCAGGTTTGTCAAAAATAACATGTTTCCAAACACAACCATAAATTATATTTGTATAATCTGAAATGTAAAGTTCAATATTAAGTCTTAGGAAGTTTGTAAAGTACTCAAGTCAGACAATTTTGATTACAGACAAAACATAAACACTTTTATTTTTGGTTCCTTTCAGTTTTAACCTCCTGTCTAAACAAATTTATCCAACAGATTCAAATTTTGATTAATGTTCCAATAAAAAAAATAATTTAAAGTCTGTGATTAAATGTTTAAAATCATTCTTGATTTAAACAACTAATCTGTTCCAATACCTTACTAAGATAGAGCTCAGAACATGGCCGTTGTGGGGGGGGGGGGGGGGGGGGGGGCGACACTTGTTCCGGTAGCCAAAATAGTCATTAGATAGGGCCTTAATTAAGAATTAAATGAGAAAAATCCCATGTAATTCACAAAGACAAGGGCACCAAAAATCATCATTTGGCTAATCCTAGTTACGATTGCCAGACTTATTTTCCAGGGAGTGACTTCCCTTTGTTTATTTTTACTAAATTATTCTAGGGATCGATTTAGGGTTCAGGTTAGCCATGGCCATAGGGATCAATTTAGGGTTCAGGTTAGGCATAGGGATCGATTTAGGGTTCCGGTTAGGCATAGGGATAGAGCAGGGGTGGACTGGGCCGCCGGGACACCGGGAAGATTCCCGATGGGCCGCTAGGACCGGTGATATAATAAAAATAAAAGTCATGAAGATAGGGCTGCTTTTTGTTTTTTTCCCGAGCTGCTTTGATTTTTTCCCGGGCCACTTGAACTCCCCAGTCCACCCCTGGATAGATGACTTCATGTGACGTGTTACCCAAGATGGCGGCCATTGAGTAAATAGTGGCAATCGTAGTCAAAATTTACCCATCATTTTAATGGTCGGCCCAGGACTGCACTTTTTCTATACAATGAAGGCCAAAGGTGGCACTTTTCAGGATTAGCCCTGGGGGCTGCTTTTCCTCAACATTACATTCATTACATGGCACTGAGTTCACTGAGCATTTGCCAGCTATATGACTATATGCTCGTAGGCTTAGCTATACTATTACTCAGTAAAATATATTATAGGCTATTGTGAAGTGAGTCATAGTTGTGAACATTTCTTAATGTCAAAGATGAAAACTGAAAGAGATAAATAAACTAATTAAACTTAGACTTCGGCTAATCCACTTACGGCGCGGTTACGAAAAACAGGCTGTGGACGCCATGGAGCCTAAGCTCACTTAATACTATCTATAGACTATAGTATACTAACTATGCTCTTCCATGCGTAAATCCACACTTACTAGTAGTAGACACTAATTCTAATACTAATACTACTAACTAGTTACACTAACTAGTTACTTACCTGGTTGATGTTTGTCAACATTGTCACTGACACTATGATGGCTATGGTCATGGTACATTTCTGCTAAGATCCCAGAGGAAGTCAAAGAAAATAGAGGTAACAGTAAAACAAAAGTTTTGCGATGAAAAGTGATAAATGACATTGAAAAATCCGCTTTAATCAATGCATGAAAGCTGTGTTATGGACATTGTTTAGCAGTTTTAGGACTATGTATTCAAAACAATAATACCGTCCTATTTTCGGTTAGCGTAATTACCGAAATTCGATGTAGATGTAAGACATAGATTTTTTGCCAGATGCGTTCTGGAACTTAAGATCATTTTCTTTTCTTAATAAGTAGGAAGTAAGCTATCAAATTCGGACTTTTTTTCAAGGAAAGTCTAAATAGCTTTTATATAGTCTTTAAAAGAGATATTTTAATTTTCATCACAAAAAATTTAATTCAATGTATTCAATTAATTTTAACAGATATCCCCGGACACCAGACTGTCGGAAGCGCCAAAATAGATTTTGGTAGTATTTAATGGACGAAATGATGGATTTAAGAGTTTGGGGTATAAAAATGAATCTAGTCCTCTGGCGCAAAACACTATAACCACTGCCAGTGGCGTTGAAATGGGATATATGGGGTGGTCCACCAAGGACTCATCCCCCCCCCCACTCTTTTATATGAAGGGCGGCATCTTCGGACAACTGCAGAATTTGTATCGTGAAACTAAGTGCATCAAAAATCTTGGGTGCTGGGTGGCCAAGTGGTCTAAGTTGAGAGTAAACACCGAGCTAGTGGACTGGAGTTTTATTGGATTCATGGACACAATGAAAATTCTGACAACTCCTGCAACGTAGATCGCATAAAAATTTGTTTGTCAGTCGTGTGACCATGACCACTTTAATCATCAGGTTTGTGTTAGTTCTGTCTGTGAGTGCGCAGATAGCTAATGAGGCCAATTCTGGCACGAAATTTTCTTGTGCAGTAGGTGCAGGGGAATGATAGGGCATCTCCGGGAGCAGAGTCAGGTCGGGCCTTTCTGGCATGTCTCTTGCGCTCTGCAGCCACTGTTCGGCCAACTTCATGTTGCATGGAGCTCCTGTGTAAAGTGGAACGCATGATGTTCAGTCCCTTGCTTTTTCCTCCCACGTGTCTTGGTTTATGTTGAACGCTTTCGGTGAGGCTTTTAGGATGTCTTTAGAACGTTTCTTCTGCCCGCCTTCAGACCGCTTTCCTTGTTCAAGCTCACCAGAGAAAATTCTTTTGGGCAGACGGTCGTCTGACATTCTCACAACATGTCTTCATTTAGATGGTAAAGATTCTTAGGAGACCTGCCTGTGTGAGCACCTCAGTATCTGGGACTCTGTCCTGCCTGTGTGAGCACCTCAGTGTCTGGGACTCTGTCCTGCCTGTGTGAGCACCTCAGTGTCTGGGACTCTGTCCTGCCTGTGTGAGCACCTCAGTGTCTGGGACACTGTCCTGCCTGTGTGCGCACCTCAGTGTCTGGGACACTGTCCTGCCTGTGTGAGCACCTCAGTGTCTGGGACTCTGTCCTGCCATTTGATGTTGAGGATTTTTCTGAGTCTTGTTGTATGAAAGTGGTTCAGCATTCTTGCATGGCGTTGGTAGACCGTCCACGTTTCACGGGCATAGAGAAGCGTACCGAGAACAGCCGCCTGATATACTTTCAGTTTAGTTTGAGTGCCGATACATAAAGAGGACAGTAGGCCTACACAAGACACACTGCTCATTATCTACTGCATCGAGATATAATTTCAGTCATCTTTACTAGGTTTTGCCATTGGATCAAATAGTCAAGGACAAGAGAGTGAGGCTAATGAATTTAGTACTTTAAATAGAATACAAGGATTCTACACAGGAAGCCTTGTATTTTGTTTGCATGCGAAGATTGCATTGGTCATGCGATGTTTGAACAATATTACTAGCTGCGCCATTAGGCAGTGTATCTATCAGGACCAAACTTGGCGATTAGGGGTCGTTCGTAAATTACGTCAAGCGTCAAGCTAAAATGACCTTTTAGGGGATTATTTTTGATGTGGACACTTTTTCAATTATCAACTATGAATGCAAGGTGGATTATCGGAAAGGGGGGGGGGAGTGGGGGCGGGCAATATTGAAAATGGGCTATGCTTAACCTGCTTGTGTGTACCGGTACAAATTTATATTTTTTTATTACTGAATAATAACTTGGTTTTATTATTTATTTAAAGTATTTTTGGTGTAAAGTACTAATTAAAAGTTAATATTTTAAAATGTTAAGAAAAAAAATAGCAACATTGCTTCCAAAAAGCAAAAAAAAAAAATAATAATAATAATTACAATGCCAGTTTTTTTTAAAATGTTTTTGAAAGCTTTCAATTAGTTTATCGTCTATAAACAATTTTTTTTTTTTAATGCGTGCAATAAAGTAGGCATATTTAAAAAAAAATATTATTCTGATATTAAAAAGAAAAAGGCAGTTGGTAATTTTTAAAATCTCTGTTATTCAGGAAACTTTGTTTTCCAGAGAAAACTGTTCTGTTTCTTCTGTAGCACCTTCACCGCGGAACATCTCGCTTTTGCGTTTTGCTTCACCCCGATTACCAGAAAGCTTAAACGTCTATGCACAAATTGGAAGCAACATGATTATCTAAATTATCTTCACTTTTTAAGTTAGACATCCAGCCTTGCATTTCTGGACTGAATAACCTTGTTCCAGATATTACCTGGAACTTATCCTCTGTACCATATAAATAAAGGATGCGATTAAAGACAATGCTCCATACAGCAGGAATTATCATACAATTAATGATGTATGTGACTTAGGACAAATCTCCATTTATCTCTGTTATTGTTTCGGCTGTTAGGTTCAACTACAAGAGGTTTTCTAATGCTAATTTGATGCCTGGCAGGTGGGCTACAAACGGTTTCATACTTTCAAAACTGTCTGAGCATCGTGTGTTAGACATGCCGCGAAGAGAACAGCCAATACATCTTTTCAAGATTTTCAACAGTTTGCAGGAATCCATTCAAACCAAGAGATTGTATGAAGACCCAACAAATTTTGAATAGCAGACTGCGCTGGACAGGACACCTTGAGAGGATGCCACATTGTAGAGCAGCAAAAAGGGATCTACATGCAGAAACCTAGGGACAGATGGCTCACCGATCGAAACCAGATTGAGATGGATTGAGGATGTAGAACTTACACCAACTGGGAGTTCGCGCATGGAGGCGGAAAAGCCATGGATCGATCTGAATGGAAGGATGTAGTGGTGCAGGCTAAGGCCCTACACTGGGAACTGACACTCAAAGCAAGCCCCCTTTCATCAAGGAATAGTACAAAATCAATTATTCGTTTCATAATGTTATACCACGTGACAGATTCTATTTCATAATGTTTTACCACTTGACAGATTATGTTTCATAATGCTGTATTTGACAGATTCTGTTTCATAATGTTTTACCACTTGACAGATTCTGTTTCATAATGTTTTACCACTTGACAGATTCTGTCTCATAATGTTGTACCACTTGACAGATGCAGTGTTAGATGATGCCTCCAAGAGACAGCCAATGCTTTTACCAGATGATGGGCATCTTGCTATTTCTCACCAAATCAGACAGCACCGCCCACGGCTAAAGCACCGCCCACGGCTAAAGCACCGCCCATTTTTCCACTTTTTAGCCGCTGACCATCCTTCTGATGATGTAAGCATAGACTTAGCTCATGAACCAGTTCTGCAACAGATCGTGTTCCAAAATAATCGACAGGGGAAGCAAAATAATGTTTCTTTAATTTCCCTCCAGACAAGCGAATCTTTGACATGTTTTTCACCATTTAAACTCCAAAATGTTAGAATACTTTCGGGGCAAAACCAGGTTACCCGTATCTATATCTTTGGGAAATGTTTTAAGAAAGCCAGTATGACCTTGAATAACAAGGTTGCCATAATGAACTTTGGGTGTCACTTGGAACGACAACAGCTGTGTCAAGCTGCTCAGCAACCGTGAAACCATCGACCCAATGTCACAGGTGAAGTGATGGAGTCGGGCTAACAAGAAAGGGAATGACGTCTCCAAACAAAAATCGATACAGAATATAACAGACACATGGATCGGGTCGATAAAGTGGATGGAATGCCCAGAAATAAAGAATCATAATAAGGGACAAAAAGTGGTACTTTCCTTTGTTGACCAATGCCATTGATGTGGCGTTGGTGAATTCCCACGCCCTATATTGTCTTTCAAACGGTGCAATGCCTCTGTTGGATTTCAGAAGTTCTGTAGCCGGAGCATATCTTGCTCTTTCTTCACCAATATTCGAACCAAAAAAATCGGGAGGAAATCTTTCTTGAAACCTTCCAAGGGTCGTATTCCTGTTGATGTTAGAACCTCTGGAACTGGTCAGTACATTGAACGAATAAAAATTGGCAGACGAAGGAAGTGTGCAGTGTGTAAGACTAACACAAGAAAACAGTACAGCAAATGTAATGTTGCTTTTGTTGGACTACAGGTTGAGCTTTCCTGTATGGCAAAAAAAAACTAGACAGTATCTGCCGTGATCCCCATTTGCTTTGGAAAAAAATTCCGGTGATATGATCCGAAAATGATTGATTTTCTTATTAGGCAGATGTAAATGTATAACAATAAAGCAAACTTATTAGGGGAAAAATTGGCAGTTAATGGGTTAACAACACTTTCATTACTTCATATGGTCACAACAGGGACAAAACATTTTAACTCATAAGTTCAAACAATAAATTTTGACTCGATACCCAATGTTTAATTGGCTTTTTGTTATATTTTCTACAAGTAGGCCTATTTGGAACTGTTGTAACACATTGTATTACATTGATTTCAGTTGAAAATGTTGCAGCTGGAACATGAAACTAGGGTTATTATTCAGAGAGGATAAAAGACTAGATCAGCGGTTCTCAACCTTCCTAAAGCCGCCACCCTTTAACAAAATTCCTTATGTTGAGACAGCCGAAAACCACAAAATTAGTATCGTTGCTGCTTCATAATCGTAGAGTGTATGTGTTTTCTGATGGTCTGAGGTGACCCCATTGAAAGGGTTGTTTGAACTCCAAAGGGGTCGCAACCTAAAGATTGAGAACCGCTGAACTAAATCAAGTAAATAGCTTGAAAATTTAAAAAAAAAACAATATAAAAAATCAAGCAATTATTTTAGGCTTCATTTCCATAACATCAAATTAAAGTAAATAGCCCTAGATGTGATTGCACTTGTAAAAAAAATTCAAATTCCATGCTTATATTTCTAATTCTGGAATAGAAATAAGCCACTAAAGGGGAGCAAAAAATTATATTACAACAAATAAAATTTAATTATGATTCTATGGTTTATTGTTGTATTTGAAACACTTCAACATCTAATCTGTGGGATACAATACGCATAAACACTGCTGGTCATCTACTGCACCCTGGTCTATTGCCAGTCATCTCGATTAAGTCTTGCCATTGGAACAATCAGGCAAGGACGAGAGAGAGAGTGAGTCTGAAGAATTGAGCAACTCTCCCTCACCTTAAACAAAATACAGCTCAAGCCAAGGCTACTACTCAATTCCAAGCCTTGGCCATCTTCACATGTGAACAACCAACAATATATATATATATTTTAAAATTAAAGTAACTAATAAAAATAAAATGGTGCAGGACTATTACTTTGATTGAGAAAAAAAAAGGGGGGGGGGGGTAGGAGGGGCTGATCCAATAAATTCAAAATTCAGGGATACATTTTTCATCATTCTAAATTTAATCTGCCCACAAAAAAATGTACATTTAGTGTACATTTTGGGATCAGGATGTGATTAAACAAATCATTTACTTTTTGTTGTACCAAATGGTAATGCTATTTTATAATTTTTATTTATGGTTAACTATTTATGGTTAACAATCCTTCATTAATACGGGTAGGCCTACATGATTTTTAAAAAAATAAAAAGATGTCCAGTCATCTTAGCAGTGAAACAAATTTCAGCTCTCTAGATTATCAGACAGTCAAGGAATTGCCGGGAGTTTTAAACATTACTTGAACACTGATGACAGCTACACAACGCCAATAACATAAGGCACTGGCAAGTGAAGTTGAATTACAAAAAAATTAAAATTGAAATAATGGACGGCATGGAAGTATGTAGATGTAAATTTACATACTGTTGTATAGCAAAATACTGATCTACCTGTGGTAAAAACTAAGTTACAATAAAGATCTACCGGTCTGGTGAAAACTATAACCACACGAAATAACTTAATACAAAGAATAAAAATCAAAGTAGTTAACATATAGGTGGCAAGTTCTCACTAAAAATAATACAAATTAAATGCACAACTTAGATTTATATGTTTCAGTTACTTTTTCTTATCCTTAAAAAAATCCTTTACAAACTGTAACAACAATTAAAAAGGAAATTATTAAGTTACAAACTGTTAATTTAATTAATAATCAATTATCAATCAATTTAATAGATCAATAAAAATTATAAGTTTTTATAATTCCATTCAAAAAAATTTTACATAGATTTTTTATAATATATGATAAAGAAATAAAAAATAAATGACTTTGAGTACAATTTCAATTTAGTTATAATCATTTTCTTTTCCAATTTTTCAAAATAGTAAACATCAAAATAAAACAAAAAACAATGCAATCAAAAAACATTTCCAATTGTTTGGATCAATAAAAGAATCTTATCTTATCTCTTGTGTTATTACTTGAATCTTTTTATTTCAATAGTCTTCACTAATTAAGCTCTCTGAACTGTCTTCATCCGACTGTTCAAAATCAACAACTTTTGGATGAAAACCAGTATTTTCTCTACTCAAGTTATGAGGATTTGCTTTGAAAGCATCAGAAATGGCTCTCATGAACATCTTTATCAGCTTGTCACTAAGTCCATGAACTGTTAGCGTTGATCCTGTTAAAATCTTTCTGATTTCAAAGCTAGCTGGGCCCAATTTCCCTCTTGCAGTAGGACGGTGAGTCAACACTCGTCCCTCCAAGATGCTGCTGTTCATTTCCCTACCACTATAAGTGCTGTAAGTGGAATTTCCTATGTCCTGACTATAATGAAAAGATTTGTCCCTTTCTGTACTGTCTGAGCGAAATGTCCCCTTTTCTCTAAAACTATGAGATGTTCGCCTTTCTCTAGGGATATGAGAAGTTCCCTTTTCTCTGGGGATATGAGGTGATGTTCCTCTTTCTCTAGGGATATGAGGAGATTTTCCCCTTTCTCTAACACCAGTAGGAGATTTTACCCCTTCTCTAGGGATATGAAGAGATGTTCCCCTTTCTCTAGCACAAGTAGGAGATTTTACCCCTTCTCTAGGAAGTATCTCCCCTTCCTTTAAACAAGGAGACATTACCCTATCTCTTGCACCAGAAGGGGATTTTCCCCTGTCTCTAGAACTAAAGGGTGATGCTCCCCTTTCTCTAGAGCTAAATGGAGACTTTCCCCCTTCTCTGGTATTAAAAGAAGATGATCTCCTCTCCATTATAGAAGGAGATTTTCCCCATCCTCTGGTATTAAAAGGAGATGCTCCACTCTCCATAACAGAAGATTTTCCCGGTGAATGACTGGTAGGAACAGAGCTTCTCATTTCTAAACTGCCTCGCTCAGATGATTCCTTTCCTCTGACATGCAAATATTTTGAAGGCAGTGTTTCCGGATTGCTGTAATGCTTCTCAAGGACAAAATTTACTGGAAGATTTTTGGCATTTTGAATAATTTTCTGAAAAAAAAGAAGTTAACAGGCTGATCCAGAGTCCCCATTATATATATTTATTTATATATATATATATGTAATTTACATTTTATAAATTTCGATATCAGAGTATATTATGAAAACAAATTCTTTACTCCAAGTCTTTTTGGTCATACAATTCTACTGTTGTACTGGTGGTATATTTGGAATGGTTTTTGTTAGCAGTCGTTTTTAAAGCGTGAAAAAAATCTTAAATGTGATTAATGTAACCTCCTTAAATCCAGATAAATACCTGAAATAACAGTGTTTCATTTTTATTTAAGTCTTGTTTTGAGGAGTTTTCCGTCATGCAGCTGTGCATTTTTCCATTAAGAGCAGCCAATGTAGTTTCTGTGTTTATCTTTGAGTGCCCACAAATAAAAATTGGTACTCCCTTGCAAGATGTTTCACTCACTAGAATATCCTTGTTTGCATTTGAGATTTCTGTTAAATCTTAAGATAAAAATAAGAACTTTTTAATTATTACTTTGAAAATGTACTGAGAAGTGTTAAATAAATAATTTAGGCCCGATGATTGATTTAAATTAAAAATGATATGAATTGAACTGTTGTCAATATTATTTCACTAGATCAATGCATATGTCAGAAACCTTACTTATAAAATACAGTGAACAAATTTCAAATAAAATTTTCCCCCTTATAAATGAGAATTCCATTGGTGAGATAAAGATTGAAACACAACATTATTTTGATAAAAATTTTTATTTAATAACAAGAATCTCATTTAAAATCCATTAAAAATTTCACAAGAATATATTGTTTTGTTCTTTCTCTTAAATTACAATAAGTTATGCATGGGCTTACCTTTGTTTTCAGGAGCCCAAATTTTGTTTCCTAAGAAATTAAAATTTAAAATAATAATGAATATTATTATTATTTTCTTAATTTTATAAAATGCTTTCAGATATAATCTGTTCGTCTCTGTAACATTAAAATAAAAGACAAGGGGTGCAGGCAATCTGTAAGACATGAGGTGCAGGCAATCTGTCACTGAATCAACATTATGAAGCACGTACTTAAAGGCAGACCTTCATTAATGTATGTGTGGTTACTTTAAAGAAAAATTCAAATAATTTCAACTCACTTATTCTATTTTCCCATTGCGTTTCAAATGATTCAGGAAAATAATGTTCCAGCTCCTTCCTGAATTCCTTCAAATTGGGGAAAAAAAATGTTTTACATTGTGATTAATTCCTAAATAATAAAGCATTAATTTTCTGAGATATTTAAGAGATTAGTATATAAATCTAAAACTATGTAACAAACATTTTATATAAAAATGGGGCATCTGTTAACCTACCAATGGTTTGCCTTCTTTAGACCAACCAAGGGTATGCTATCTTTTAACATACAAATGGTTTTCCATCTTGTAACCAAATAATGGTATGTCATATTTTAAACTACCAATTGTATGCCATCTTTTCACCAACTAATGGTATGCCATCTTTTAACTTACCAATGGTAGGACATCTTTTGACCTATCAATGGAATGCAATCTTTTAAACAACTAATGGTATGTCATCTTTTAACCAACCAATGGTATGCCATCTTTTATCCAACCAATGGTATGCTATCTTTTATCCTACCAATGGTATGAAAAAGAAACAGGAGCATTTTAAACTAATCTGAATATTAATTGACTTACTTTGCGATACTCTTTATTATCTACAATCAGCACAATTTTTCTCTGTTTATTTAGGATTCCTTCAGACAATAATTGATCCAAGACTTGACAAATAGTTGTCACCAAGTATTTTAGTGGATAATTCGGGAAGACATGAAGGCCAGGAGGTATGATGTGTACACTACGGTACTCAGCAGATCCCAAAAGGCAACTTTTTAGAGCAACATGGATGGCCTTTCAAATATAAAAGGTGGGAATTTCTACATTCTCAAAAAGAGAAAAACAGGGATCAATTTACTTTATTTCATTCTCAAAGCTTTTTTTTCAGTACTGTATAAAAGTGATAAGAAGTCATCCCATCGCAAACTCCCCCCCCCCCCCCCCCCCCCCCACCCCCCTTTTTTTTTTTTTTGTTTTTTTTAAAAAAACCTTTCCCTGGGCCCTTTAAAAAAAAAAAAAAAACACCAAAAAAAAAAAAAAAAAACACAAAAAAAAAAAAAACCCCCCTAACCCAACACCACTTATTGTGTTATGTGAATTATTTAGAACAGCAGTTCGCATGAGCCTCTTAAAAAGAAAACAAAGCCACTTAGAAAGAAAACAAAAGCACTTAGAAAGAAAACAAGCCACTTAGAAAGAAAAGAATTCCAGTTAGAAAGAAAAAAAACACACGTAGAAAGAAAACAAAGCAACTTAGAAAGAAAACAAAGCCACTTAGAAAGAAAACAAAGCAACTTAGAAAGAAAACAAAGCAACGTAGAAAGAAAACAAAGCCACTTAGAAAGAAAAGAAATCCACTTAGAAAGAAAAAAAACACACGTAGAAAGAAAACAAAGCAACTTAGAAAGAAAACAAAGCCACTTTGAAAGAAAAAAAGCCACTTAGAAAGAAAACAAAGCAACTTAGAAAGAAAAAAAGCCACTTTGAAAGAAAATGAAGCCCTTTTGAAAGAAAACGAAGCCACTTAGAAAGAAAAAAACCCACTTAGAAAGAAAACAAAGCCACAAAATTTAGAAAAGAAGATGGGTAAACCAAAATGAAATTACAACTTCAAATGCATGTGCCGTGCTAGAAATAAATTATGCATGTGCCATCCTAGCAATGAATTTTATATTCTCAATAAACTTCTGATAATTACACCAGGTGTTAATAAATAGAGTTATCTGAAATTTAAAAAGTTATTATTCAAGTTCTATGTGTTTATATCATTGAAATTTTTTTATACATTAGTGTGAAGTGTGAACTACTACAATAACTATTTAAAAATGAAATTCTTATTTTCCAGGTTTTAATTAATGAAATTTTTTGAAAATATTTTTAAAAACAATTTTAGCTGAAATGTATTATCGTTTTAGCTGAAGAGTAATAACATTTACAAGAAAAAGATGGTTAGGTAAATGAATGTCCTACAACTGACCTCATCACAACCTGGTCCCCACTTAGGGAAGCAATAAACCAGCGCTTCTTTGCCATTTGTAAAACAATTGACTCGACAGGGCTCACCAATGGCAAGACCATCTGGTTTCTTAAATAATAATTTTCTTAAATCATCCTGCAGTAATTGTTTGGAGCAAGAATGTTCATTGATGGCTGGGCAGGTGATTGACTTTAGTTCTGGTTGTATAGGATAGCAGAATAAGATTCCATCTTCCTAGAAAAAGTATTTTTGTTAAAAAATGGTTTAAATATAGTTTTATATGTGTTTGTGTGAAATAACATTCATGAAAACAATGGAATAAACCGGGGAGGTCGGATGCTTTCAGCCAAGCCATTTGGCCAACGTCTCATATTAGAAGGGCCCTTAAATTTACACAGATATTTGGATACATTTTTAGTTGTCGTTGTTAATCCATTACTAATATCAATGATTAAAATGATTTTAAATTCAAATATAAAGAAGCACTTTGCCCTTTTCAATTTTTATTTGATAAAGTGAATTAGCCTCCAGAAAAATTGGAGCAAATGTAACTCCCAAAGGTGAAGTCACAGTATTGTAACAGTACATTGTAAGAAAAAAAAGTTGGGGTTTTTTGGGGGGGGGGGGGGGCGGCCCCCATTAAAAAAATGGGGTGTGTGATGGGGGGGGGGGGGGGCCGGACCTCAATTAAAGCCAGTGACCAGGACCACTTCACTCTACAAAAGGCCCTAGAGCTTACAACTATTTTGTTAGGATTGCTATCATTTTTGTAATTAAGAAAAAATAAAATAAGATATTTAAACCATCTGTGATACTACTACTTACCCAAATGTCAGGATTATTAGCCATCAGTTCAATGATTGCTACAAATGATTTATTACTATTGCTCATTAGTTCTGAAAAAAAAAAAAAAAAAAAAAAAAATCCTTTCAGGAAATTAAAAAAAAAAAAAAAAAAAAAAAAAAAAAAAAAAATTTAAACCATCTTGGATACTTACACTTACCCAAATGTCAGGATTATTAGCCATCAGTTCAATGATTGCTAAAAATGATTTATTACTATTGCTCATTATTTCTAAAAAAAAAAAAAAAAAGAAAAAAAATCCATTCAGGTAATTAATTACACAAAGACAAATCATTGGTGTACACAAGAAGGGTGAAACATTTTAAACACAAAAAAAAAAAAAAAAAAAAAAAAAAAAAAAATCCATTCAGGTAATTAATTACACAAAGACAAATCATTGGTGTACACAAGAAGGGTGAAACATTTTAAACACAAAACAAAGAAAAAAACTCATTCAACGTGAAATCACTTCAAAAATACGCTTAATCTTACACATCTCTGCCTAAACTGGACAGTTTCAAATATCAAAGTTTGTCTTATTCTGAAAAATACAAACCAAGTTGGCCGTTGTCCTTATTTTTAATACTTTATACATCTCAACTTCTTTTTATTTATACAAACTATTTTAACAATGAGAGAAAATACACCACTAAAATCGGAAATTAGAAAATATTTGAAAAAGTTAAAATAGAAACTAGAAAATATTTGAAAAAGTTAAAATAGAAACTGGAAAATATTTGAAAAAGTTAAAATAGAAACTAGAAAATATTTGAATAAGTTAAATAGAAACTAGAAAATATTTGAAAAAGTTAAAATAGAAACTAGAAAATATTTGAAAAAGTTAAGATAAGATTGTTTAAGGAAAAAAAAAGAGTACCGGTATAAATAGTGTCTTACTTGGAAGTGAAATGCCATCCCACGTGTCCTGATCAGGATATTTTAAAGGCATGTTACTTTCTTTGAGATAAAATGTAAAAGCTTTAAACACTGCTTCAGATTTCATCTCACAAATAAATACGTCTGCTCTTAAGCCATTTTGTGCGATTGATGGCTGAAATGTGTTTATTAGTTCATTGATCAGAGATTTGGCTAAACAGTCAACTGGAAATGGAAACTCTGTCTTGCACATTTTGGAAGTGGAAAAAAACAACTGTGTACAGTTACTTTGAGATGCTAGTTTCAGTACCAGACAAAGTGATTCTTGTAAACTTTTCCTCATCAAAGTGAGGTTATCTTTTTTGGCTGATGGACTCCGCTTCCACGGAGGGAGAGAAATAATCTTGTGACTGGAGGGTTCAGATGTCACTGAGCACATTTTCTCTGCAAACAAGAAATCGTGTTGTGTGATTAGCGACTATACTTTTGCATAGCTACTCATTTATATATGACCCTAAAAAGGGTAACCATTTGTGACATGCAAATTAAATTTTTTCACACTATGCAGATCATTTTCAAACAATTTATTAAAGAAGAATCAAATCATTGTTTAAAATAAAAATGATGAAACCTTGTCATAACTTACCAGCGCTTCCATTAATGGGGCAGAACTCTACTTTCAGAGGAACATTAAAATCTGTATGATCTCCTTGAACCAAATGTATTTTAAGATGATCTGTTTGTGCTGTTCCAATAATAATACTTTTGTAATCAAATCTCTTTCCTTGTGATTTTATGTCTGGGAGCTCAGTGACACATTGATTTATATTTGATAAGTGATCAATAAATTGTCTGCCTTCTTTGGATCTCACATAAGCACGCAGACCAGGATAATGAAGATGATCTTCTAGGCAATAGAATTCTTTTAGAAGATGTTCAACTTTTGTACGGGTGTGTTGCAGTCTCTCGGGGGAAGCACACTTGAATTCAAGACCGCATTTGCCAATGATAATTTTTGTACTTTCATTTTTCTCCAAGGTCATGAGCTTGTCCTTCAGAAATCTAATGCAGAATTCACGCTCCAATGCTGTTAATGGTAAGACAGTTGTATTTTCTACTCCATTAGCTTGAAGGACATCCTTAAGGCTTCCTGATTCTTTTCCAAATGCCTTTTCTGTAGCACTCGGTATCAATGTCTTCTTTGTATCACTCGGCATCAATGTCTTCTTTGTATCACTTGGTGTCCTTGATCTTTTCGACAGACTGTCCCAATAAGAGCCTTCGTTAAACGAATATGCACCTTGCATTTCCTGTGACCACATGACTTTATGGCCCCAAACACTTCTGATATCAGAAATCAATAGATCTTGAAAAGGCTCATTTTCAGTAAACCCATAAAGGATAATAAATCTGTCTTTGACAAAAATTTTGAAAGTTGGATATTGAGAGTGAAGAGATTCAACAAATGTTCTATATTCGATGCTTTTTTCATAACTTTCCTGAAAAAATTTCCCACAAACTTTTCTCACAATTGCGGTAGATAAATAATCATCTATAGACATCATCTGTAATAAAAGTAAAACAAAATGGTAACAGTGTTTTCGTTAGAGAAAATAGCTAAATTACATATTTTATCCTGATTCATTATCAAATACACAGCTGTGCTAAAAATTTCTTTACTTTAAATAATTTCATAAGTACAATATGTTTTGATTTCTTTAGATTTGTTTTCCCTCCCTGCTCCCTGACATTGTCTCAGAATTTCACTACTGTTCTAATTTATATTATTATTAATTATGTTTGAGTAACTTATAATAAACTTTACAATAGAAGGTTCAACAACTGTGAATTTTAAACTTAATATAGAACATCATTGCAACAGAAATTAGTTCCCGACCTGATGCCAATCAAACTGATAAATAATCATTTAATGTGTAAATTTGTTCAGATCACTAAATTACTAATATTATTACTCCTCCTCCTCATCTCCTCATGTCCCTTAGTCCTTGGACCGTTGGGGCGCCACAGATGACATGTGAACCATCCTCCTCCATTCCTCTCTGTCTTCTGCACTACGCAGAAGTGTTATATCGCCCAGTGTTAGTCCTGTCCACTCTTTGATGTTATCCTCCCATCTTTTTCTTTGTCTTCCTCTTCTTCTCACTCCTCTTGTGGTGCCCTGCAATATTTCTTTGGCAAGCCCTTGTTTCCTCGTTACGTGGCCGTGCCATTGTAGTTTGCGTTTTTTCACAGTCACCAGAAGGTCATCGTATTGCCCAATTGCCTGATGAACCCTTTCTTTCACTATATCATTGGAGATACGGTCCTTATAGCCGATGCCAAAAATGCTTCTGAAGCATCTCCATCGCCTTTATTTTCCTTTCAAGATCGGCTGTAAATGTCCAGGATTCGCAGGCATACAGGATAATGGAGAGGACTAATGAGCGCATCAGCCTGATTTTGGTGCTGGGGGCTATATTTTTGTCATTCCATATTTTCTTGAGCTTCTTTAGTGCTGTTGTAGTCTGCGCAATCCTGGACAACAGTTCGGGCTTGGAGCCTTCTTCTGAGACTATTGCTCCTAGGTATTTGAAGCGGCCGACAGTCTCTAATCTTGCCTCCCCGACCTTAATTTCAGTGGTGATGTCTGCGGTATTATTTGTCATCAGCACTGATTAGCATGCTGTAGGACGACGAGGTCTTGTCGGGACACTTTACCAGGTTGGCTAGCTCTTCTTCGTTCCCAGCCAGTCCGTCTATGCCGTCCGCAAAGCGTAGGTTGGTGATTGTTCTGCCACCAATGCTGACTGTCTCTTCATGCGCTTCCAGAGCATCTGACATAATTCTCTCTAGGAAGATGTTGAATAGGGTGGGGGAGAGCAGGCAGCCTTGTCGTACTCCAATTGAGGTCTTAAACCATTCTCCTATGTTATTGTTGAGGAAGACTGCACTGGTGGCCTTATCATAGAGGTTGCATATCAGGCTGGTTAGGTTTGTGTTGATGTTGTAGTGCCTCATGGTGGCCCATAAAGCAGTATGCCAAACTCTGTTAAATGCTCTCTTGAAGTCAACAAAGACGTGGTATAGGTTTTGTTGGTGTTGAGCATATTTCTCACATAGTATTCGGTTTAGAATCTGCTCAGTAGTGACCAGTCCTTGTCTGAAACCCGCCTGTTCTTCAGTAATGATTCTGTCGGCATATGGTTTTTCGTCAGTTCAATATGACCTTCAGCATGACCTTGGTTGGATGGCTTATTAGGCTAATTGTGCGATAGTTTTGGCATAGCTGTAGGTTACTTTTTTGGGGAGGGTGACGATGAGCGATTGGGTCCATGGTTTGGGCTTTTCTCCTGTAAGCCAGATTTTGTTACAAATATTGAATAGGGCACTTATCATTGCTTCTCCTCCTTGTTTCTTCAACTCGGCAGGGATATTATCCACACCTGCGGCCTTTCCTGTTTGGAGTGCCTGGACTGCTGCTTCTACTTCTGCGCGGAGAATAGGGTAGTTATCATTGTCTGTTGCTGGAGGGACATTAAGGATCTCTGGGTCTATCTTTATACTTTCATTATAAAGTTCTGAACAGTATTCAGTCCATCGTTTGATGATATCATTTTCTTCGGTCAAACATTTACCTTTTTTATCCTGTGTGGTAGTACTACGCCCTTGTTTTGCAGTGGTTAGTTCTTTCACCAACTGGTAAGCTTTTTTGCTATTGTTTTTCTTCAAGCAGTTTTTAATGTCGTAGCATTGCTCTTCAATCCATTTCTTCTTTGCCCTTTTCATACCTTTTTTGATGGCTTGGTTAACTGTCCTATATTTAATGGCCCGCTCTGTATTTACTATTTTTGTTTTCTTTCCTCCGTTTATCACACAGATCAAGGCCCTTCCTAACAATTGATGCAACAAAGAGGCTGATGTCTGCATTTGTGCTATCACACATGGACTATTGCAATGCTCTTATGGTGGGTCTTCCAGCTACGCTCCTGGATAAAATTCAAATAGCACAGAATAATGCGGCTCGCATTGTTCTCCGCAAACGCAAGTTTGATCATGCAAAAACACTTCTGAGAGAGCTGCACTGGCTGCCGGTCCGTGCTCGCATGGAGTACAAAATCGCAACTTTGTGCTACCGCTGCTTACATGATCTGGCGCCGTCCTATCTGAAAGAGCTGCTGACGCCTTATGTACCCACTAGAGAGCTCCGCTCATCCGATAGTGGCAAACTCTCGACACCACGTGTTTGCCTTGAGACTTACGGAAAGCGCACTTTTGCATTTGCTGGTCCAACAATTTGGAATGCCCTTCCTGTCGATCTCAGAAACAACCAGACACTGGAGTCCTTTAAAACCGATTTAAAGACACATCTATTTCGCAAACACCTTCTGGGATGATTGTCAACATTATTTTCCAGTTAATGCATAATGGCTGTGTTGCTTATGGTTGAAATGGCTAGAAAGACTTTGCCATTGTATGCTTGTACTTAGTTTTTGTAGTGTTGCGTTTGTTTTAAATGTGGTAAACTATAGATTTGTTTTTTGTTGACTTTGTACCGCGCTTCGAGCCTTTGCGGATGAAGCGTGTTTTTGAAATGAACTTTATTATTATTATTATATCAGCTGTCACCCATGGTTTTCGGGTTGGTCGATGTTTACCATGGATGTCGTGAGCTGTTTCCATTACAGCTATTTTGAAGTTATCAATCAGTGTGTCCATGTCTGAACAGTCAGCATCCATGATGTTAAGCGCTGCAAATTTTCCTCCTATTATTGGTTGGAAGGCTTATGCTACTTTAGGATCCTTCAGCTTTTCAAGGTCAAATTTGATTCTGGTATTTCCTTTTTTGTTTACCCTCTTTAAGTGCAGTCTAAATGTCATCATGACTATTACTACTACTAATATAAAAAAAGAATTATATTATAAATGTTAAACAGTATTTACCCTTTTGTTGACTTCATCTTCGATAGATATTGCAGGCATCTTGCATAAACTTAGATCAATTTTAGTGTTTTTAGCTCTCACTTGCTTTTTAACATTTTTATCTCTAAAAAACTCCAAATATTCATCTGAGCTGGTAATCTGGAATATTACAAAAATTGATGTTTATATTTGATACCATCAACAAAAAGGTCATGGAAAAGTTACAATACATTTTGTGAATCGCAGACAAGCCAACATAGTGTTCTTTAAACCATATCATATGTTAAGTTTAAGGGGGAGAAAGCAATCCAGATTTTTTTTAAAATGAATGTATAGTGTAAAGCAGGCGTCTCAAACTTGCGGCCCGTGGGCCATTTGCGACCCACAAGACGATATTTTGCGGCCCACTACCTGACAGCAAAGTTTAGTGTTAATGCGGCCCGCGCGTTTGCCCCAGTCTCATCTCTATAATGTGAACGGTTTCAGTCTAATCTCACCGACTAATATATGTCTTTATTTTAGTTTGTATAAGTTTGGACTTTGATTATAATGGTAAAAACCTTTTTAAAATCGGACTAAAGTTGGCTTAGCAGGGGAAACATTTTGAAAAGGTTTTCTTGAGTTGAAAGCAGAAATCAAAGACTTCATAGAGAAGGATGGGGTGGGGGTGTAGTTCCTGTACGAAGTGATTCCATATGACTCATGGACTTGGCTTTTCTTGTTGACATTACACAGGAGCTGAATGTACTCAACAAGAAGTTACAAGGCCAGGGGCAGCTTGTCAGTGTTGCCTATGACTATGACAATGTCATTCTGCACAAAGCTTGTGCTATGGAAAGCCCAGCTTTCTCATATAAAACCTCTGCCATTTCCCAACATGCAAATTACTCATGGACTCGAGCACACCATTAAGTAGTAACTTAGTAGTAAGTATACTGATGCCATTGCAAAGCTACAGGAAGAAATTATCACAGGTTTGCTGGATTCACAACTCAGAGAGCCACTTTTCCCATTTTGCTGACCCTTTCTCCTCCAATAAGGAAGATACCCTCCCACCCACACACAACTTGCGCATCAAATGGAGCTGATTGATCTTCAGTGCAATTCTGAACTTAAGGCTAAGTTCAGTAGGGTGAATGGAAAAACCGACAAGCTTGGAAAATTTATGAGAGCATTGCCCTCCACATTTCCTGAGATTTCCAAGTTGTTCAAGCGGATTGTGTGCCTTTTTAGGAATGCATATCGGTGTGAAAAGTACTTTTCCACTATGAACTTTAACAAGTCAAATTTCAGGGCCAAACTTACTGATGAGCGTCTACAAGCTATACTTAGGGCCTCAGTTGCTTCCTCACTCAAGCCAAATGTTGCTCAGCTGTGCAAGAAGACGCGCTGCCAGGTCTCTGGCCACAAGGAGAAGGTGGAAGAAAGGGAAGCCTAGTTTTTGAGACCCTTCATGGTTTCATTTATTCGCCATTAGTAAAGATTGAGCAGATTGTAACAGTTGTACATTATTGAATGGGTATTCGCTTTTTTTGTGTGGATTACTTGATGCGGCCCAGTCTAACTCAGACTCTACCTCTTGCGGCCCATGGATGATTTGACTTTGAGACCCCTTGGTGTAAAGAATGATGTGTTCTTAAACTTAAATAAAATAATGAAGCTGTTGATTAGATCCTTTTACTGACCTTAAAAAAGTTATTGATAAATAGCAATCTATTCTATTCCTTACATATACCTAATGATATTAGTAGACTATGGATTAACTTTATAAATTGAAATATTTCAGATCTATTCTATTTAAAAATACAAATCGTTTTGTATTTTAAACAAAGCAACTTTATCCATAGTTGACAACACAGTTCAGTTTAGAAATGAGAAAAATGTGCTTAATTTTACCTTTTCATCTTCTGCAGTCAGAATGTGATGAATCTTATCAACATATTCTTTTGGACCAGAAATGTACACTTCATATTTGTTCTTATCAATCACAATATGTAGATCATTGTGGGTGACCTTAACAGCTTTATCGAAATGAAATAAATCCAGAAGTATCGGAATAATTGGATGAGTGAAGACAATTGAGCTTTCCTCAAATGCAGCGGATTTAATTTTTGGATCCAAATTTTTCTCAGCTGCAAGTTCCATTTTATTTATTCCTTGCGTCAAATAAGTTAATGGAAAATGTTCAGATTCTGGTTCTTTAAAGCATTCAAAGTAAGGACACACTGACAATTTACAGTTTTCAACTTTCCATTCTCTGTCACAGACTGAGTTAACAGCATCTAAATAAAATTAAGATAATATAATTTTTTGGCAGCATAAAAAGTTAACATAATTTTAAAATACAAGCCTATTTACACAAGCCTGATTTGTCTTTTAAAAATGTAATTATAGTAAAATTTCTATTTTCAACATATTGAATTTTAATAATGCACTTTTATTATAAATGTCAAGTTTTCCTCAAACTTTTGCTAAAAAAAATTCCTTAAATTTTAAAATAAAGGTACCTGGATCTAATATAAAATGTTGAAAGTAACAAAAAATTTAATGAATCCTAACTGTATTTTTAAAAAAATACTCAGTGTTCTATAATATAAGGCTGTTTGATAAACATATTTATGTGAATAATAATGCATGCGTGAGCTATAAAATTCATTAAAAACCTAAGTGTTAAACAAGGCTGTATACTGGCTGCAATGCTCTTCTTTATTTTCTTCTTGATGCATCTTCATTCAGTTTGCCTTCAGGAAAATTGAAAACGGATTGTACACCCATACCAGTTCTGATGGTAGGCTTTTCAATATCACCGACCTTCGTGCAAAGACCAAGGTAAAAAAGGTACTAATTTGTGTACTGTTGTTTGCTGATGATGCCACCATAGCATTGCACACTGAGAAAGTCTTCAGCGGCTAGTTAATAGTCTATCACACGCTTGTAAAAATTTGGACTGTCAATTAGTCTACAGAAAAAAAATGTCATGATGCAAGAAGCACCATCGCCTCCAAACATATCTGTTGAGGGCCATAATCTTTGGGTAGTTGAGCATTTCACATACCTTGGATCCTAATCTCTAGTTCACTCTCCGTTGACCAAGATGTGAACATTAGGATCACAAAAGCAGCAGCAACTACGGCTAAATTGAATATGCGGGTGTGGAATAATCTTAAATTAACTAATAAAACAAAACTAAGCATCTATAAGGCATGTGTGCTTAGTGCACTCCTATATGCCTGTGAAGCGTGGATCACAAATACCAGTCAGGAGCCGAAACTCAACAGTTTCCATCAAAGATATCTGGGTTGCATTTTACGCATTGGATGGCAGGACAGGGTTCCTAACACAGAGGTCTTGGAATGTGCTCTTGGCAAGAGGCACCTTCGCTGGTTAGGCAATGTAAAGAGAATGGAGGAAGGCTGTATTCCAAATGATCTGCTGTCTGGTGATTCGGCAGAAAGGGCAAGCCTTATTGGATGGCCGAGGCTGCATTTTAAGGATGTTTGCAAAACTAGCATAAGGGAAGCCAACATAGAAATCAACAGATAGGAGATCATCGCTGAGCACAGTTCCAGCTGGCAAACAGCAGTGTATGAAGGAGTAAAAAAAAGCAGAAGATCCCTGAAACGAAGACCTTGCAACAAAAAGAGCATTACGGAAAGCCAAATCTAGCCAGGAGTCAAGGTTCTCCTGCGAGAAATGCAGCCAAGACTGCATTCCAGGATCTGCCATTTGATGAAGTGTACATAGGTATTCCATCGTCGTGAAGACGGAAGGATGCCATATAATTAATTTGATAAATAAGGTAAATTTGAATGTGACAAAATTGATTAATTTTTATAACAAATAAATAAATAAATGAAATTTTCAGAAACCTATTTCCCTATGAATGTCATACTGGTGTGTCACAGATCTAATATTTAGATATCAATTTTGTGTCGTAAAATAATATATTGTTTTGTTAAGTAGAAATAACAGGAAGTTAAGGAATTATGGGATAGAGAAGATTAGCGTGAGTGACCGTTCGACATTTTTCTGTTAGCTCTATGCTCATTCCTGCCCAAGACATTCAGGGACTGGAACAAGCTTTCAAAAGAAACAGTTGAAGCGACAACACTAGACACATTTGCGTCTATTGCCGAAAGCCTTCCAACGCCCATTGCATGATTCCTTCACAAAGTAGCACTTGTAATCATTGAAATATCCTCATCAGCACCAGGAACAGAAACATTGCAAATCCCCTCTACATGCATAGGAGCCAAAATGATCAATAAATTGATCGTGGGCCCTTAAGATATAGAAGAAGAAGAAAGAAGATCATTTTAATTATTAAAACACCATCTTAATGTTGATTTTGTGAAGTGGAAGAAGTTATAAATGTGACTCTTATATTTACTCTGATCTAGAGAGGTATTATTTTATTATGTGTTCATTGATCAGTCAATGAACATTGTGGTGCTAATTCAAGTAGTTCTCTGGTTCTTGTTCGGATAAGCATGGCCGTATGATGGATGAATAGTGTAACTATAATTACAAATATATAAGTAACATCTTAACCCACACATATTTATGATGCGTTACACAGTAAAATATAATCATTTTTAATTGATAAAGTCTTCTGACTAAACATCCTTATTTGATAATAGAAATTAGAAACAAAAATGCTATTAATTATGAATATCAAAACTTACACCATCCATTTCCAAATGATATTTCATAGCAATCATCATCTATTTCCTTTATTGAATCTATAACACTGCCTCCCTTCTCTTCAGATGAAAACATTTCAAATAGCATCATCTTAGGAGACTTTGACACCGATCCATAGGTCCGCACAAAGATGCTATGTGTTGCTGGAATAAGTTTCAGTTGTATGTCTCCAAAAATTGTGTCTTTCTCTTGCAGGTGTTTTATTTCCACTTGATCTGGAAATAAATAAAATACTGTTGGACTTAAATCCATAACAATTTTAATTTATGAATAATTTAATGCATCAAGAGCATAACGGTGAATTTGTATATGTTTTGGCTCTAGATTCTGGATAAAACTCCTTTTGCCAATGAATAGATATGTCAACTGGAGCACTTAGATCTAACTTAAATGAGGAAAAATGAGTTTGGCAACAATTGAAACAATTAAATTTAAATTAAACCGGTACGTTACTTTGTTCTTAAGTTATGGTACCTGTATATCATAATTTTCTTATAGAAAAACAAACAGAGAACAGCTGAATTATCAACAGGGACAGTTGAATTATAAACAAAGGACAGCTGAATTATAAACAAACAGAGGACAGCTAAATTGTAAACAAGCAGAGGACAGCTGAATTATTAACAAAGAACTGCTGAATTATAAATTATAAACAAAACAGAGGACAGCTGAATCATAATCAGAGGACAGCTGAATTATAAACAAACAGAGGAGAGCTGAATCGTTCTTATGAGGACTGAAACTATAGTGACCCACAAACTATCTTCTCCATATAACTAATTGGATGATATAAGCTTTGAACTATTGGTTATTCATTCTGCTGTCTTTAACTCAAACCCTTTATACAGTTACATTTCAGTAGTGTTAAAGCTCTATTTATGTCTGGCCTCAGAAATGATCACATTAGAAATTTCACGTTAGCATTGAAGATTCAATCAAGGAAATGGTGACTCTTTTGATAATGAGAAATGTCAGTTTGTATATCATAAGCCGGCTTTCTACAGTCCAAACTTCTTTTTAAAAACATGCAGTATTCTATAGTCACATCGATGTAAGAAACACGTTCCCACATGACAGGAACCTCAAAACATTGACATTTTGAGTTTCAAAATGTTTTGAATTGACATCACTGTGTTAGTCAGCATTCTATACCTTGGGATTCATTTATACTGGTCAAAAATTGTTGAAATAAATTAGAGGCAGAGATGTGATCTGAAAAGTTTTAAAATGCATCCAAACTTTTTGAAACCTCCAAGCTGAAGGATTATCAAATTTTCCATTAAATTTTGGTTGAAATATGATGAATCTATGTAGACCTTTCATTTTTTGAAAATTCAATACCTTACCATTGCTGTTGAGTTGTCATTGTAATACAATTAATTTTATCATGCGGAAAAACAGCTAAGCTCTTTTAAAAATAATGAGAAAGTCTAATACAATAAAGATAACTCACTTTTTCTAATATAATTTAATAAAATCATTCAAATTAATCTTACCCACTTCCTTCTTAAACATTGCAACAGCTCTTGGTTCTAGGAATGGATCTAACCAAATCTTTCCAACATTTTTGGTTTCTAGCTTCTTTTGAAGATATTTGGCTAAGCCTTGTGCTGTTGTGCCACTTGGTAGGTTATCTATTAACACAAATTTTGACATTCCTAAGGATCAGCAGTGTGGATATGAATAGATCAACCTGAAAAGACATACAAAGTGGATAAGCCATATTAGGGGGTGAGAGGACTTTAAAAAACAGCATCTTTGTTAAAAAACATAGGCTATCTTTACTAGTTCTGAAAAAGGGTCTAAAATAGATTTGGGATCTAAACCTGTATAAACACCCCCCCCCACCCCCCCCCCTCCCGCTAGAATCAAAAGACAGATTACTTTATATTGTTAACATACTTTTAAGTACCGTACCAATAATTTAAACTTCATTAACTCATGAATTTTTTTTATTATTAAAGCAATAGACAAGACAGGAGCATGAAATTAATGAAATGTTAAAATTGTTTTGAGACACTTATGTTTCACTATTTTGGTTCAATAGAAGCAGTTGCAATTCTCATGAGTTCTTAAGGTTCACATTAGATATTTTGGTTCTAGTTTTATTCTTCATGTGCTTCATCCTTAAAATTGTTGCTCATTACAGTAAATGCTTTTAGATAGAGATGTTGTGAAGCAAAGGATATTTCTCTCTGGCAAGATAAATCTTATGTGCCCAGTAATAGAAGTCCAAGAAAGAGGCATGATCAAATTTTTCTTCAAGTTGAAAGTAAATTGTAGCTCTGCAACTATGAATTCCATTTGAAAATTGGTAGGTTATATGTTTATGTCGACTGTAAATGAGTCACAAATTTACTGAAAGATTGTTTATTTTTCTGGAAATCTGGACATTTTTTCTCAAATTTCTGTATCAAATCAAAAAGCATGGCTGCATATTTTTCATTGTTCAACAGACTGTGTTAAGCTAACATGCCGGAATGCATAACATTATTTACCTTAATTTGAGATTGCCAATGTTTAAGTTTCTATTAGGTGGAGGACTTTGTAGTGGCTGGGTGATCCTTGTGTGCCGCTTCATGGCCCATTATTAGGACAGTGAGCTGGGAAAGGTGGTTGAGGAAGAGGATTGTAAGTTATGTCTAACTGACTGCTGTTTTCCTATAGATAAAATTATTTTAGATAAGTATGAAACAAAATACAAAACAAACAAGAATAGTTGAATCCCCTTATGCCCTAGTAGTCTTTCTTAAAACTTAACTACTTTAGTCTTACTAGTACTAGTAACTTAATATTTTAATCTAGGCTTAGGTGTGTAGAAAATAAGGCCACATGGGCCATGATAGGGCTGATTTTAATTTATAAATATTATAGCCTAGCCTTTTGTGATATTTATTATTATTATTAGAAACTATAGACTATAGTATAGACCTAGTCCCTATGGCCTATACTTGTACTTATTAATTATATTACTATACCTCTCAAGTCAAGAATACCATTTTTATTAAACAGTTTATTGTAATTTAAATTTAAACAATTCATTCTCATTCAGTAGTAACTACCACTGATACTATCATCAGTAGGCTTCAGTAGCGGTGCCTATGCCTATTCTCTATAGTATGCAGAATGCAGTCATATAATAAATAATACAGGTAGTAGTAGTAGGGTCAATACACTATACTATAGACTACTATAGTCGTGACTGTACCAATAGCCTAATAGTTGCTAATACTAATATTAATATAGTATATAGTACTGCAGAATAGTATTGATGAATTTATAATATAAATCTAACTATCTTGTTTATAATAATTTAATTAACTTAAGACTTAAACTTATCATTGTAAGCCATTGTAAGCGTTAAACTTTAAACTGTAAATGTAGGTCTACAATCTTGTAATTTATAATTAGTATTGCAACATATTATTTGTTTTCCTTCTTATTCAGTGAAATCTTTAACATATACTTTTTTAATTTTAACATATGCTTTTTTAATTTTTAGTTAACTATTTGTTGTAAAGAACAAGTAATAAACAATGAGAAGAATTTCTTTAACCATAACATCAAAAAAACAGTGGAAAGTCTTCCGGAAACCAAATGTGAAAACTGCTTTTCTTAGAAAAAGAAGTATTTAAAAATAGCTATTTAGAAATTCCCCAAAATTAAAGCCAGTAACCGAAGAAATAAGTATGAAATTTAAAAAAAATGCCAATAAATTCAATAATGCAAACAGCTACGATACAATATTGACAAATTTAAACAGGGTAAATATACAGAGATTGTCCCGCGATGGCCCCCCATCTTGGTTGACACAACCAGATAATTCTGTCACTAAACCTAAACTAAATTAATGCATCCCAGTAACTGAAACCTAACCTGAACCCTGGCCTAAATGAAAATGTATCCCTCAACCTAACCGTTTATTGCAACTACCATAAACACGTAATTGACGTCACTGGATGATCTCTTAGCTTTAGCCATTAAGAGGCATTACCAGTTTTCTTTTTATTTTCTAACAAACACTAACATTTTGATTTAAAATTGAAAATGAATTGACATACAATCCAGAGCAGAGGCGTACCGACCGAGAGAGCAATGTGTCAAGAGCCAAGACAGTGGCGTAGCTAGGGGGGTGCGGACCGCACCGGGTGTCACCCTCTCAGGGGGTGACACCCAATTAAAAAATTGCATACTTACAGAGCACAAACTGTTCGGTACAACTGATTTTCATAAAAGAATAACCGATCACACATAAATTGTCCACACATGTAGTCTAACCAATCATAATGCAAGCTTTATTAAAAATAAGATGTTGATGCGTCAGAGATGAGGTGACCCTATAATTAGGTCAGAAAAACGCCGTTTGAAAATGACTTTTAACCCTATACGGTTAACCGGTGACGTAGCTAGGGGGTGCGGACCACAATGAGTGACACCATCCCAGGAGGTGATACCCAATAGAAAAATTGCATATTTTACAGAGCACGCACTGCTCGGTCTAACGGAATTTCATAACAGGATAACCGATCCACACGTGTAACTAATCCCAATGAGGCGTCAGAAACACCTTTTTGACCACTATTCCACGCCGATTGAAGTGTTGTTCGGTAACTTCCATGAATGACAGGAAGCAATATTTATTTTAATTCTGAGAAATAAAGCTTTCCACTGAAACCAAATATGATATGGTCGGACGATTCTAATTTAATGAATCGAATCGGTAAAAATTAATAACATTAAAAATGAGTTTTTACCAATTTTTAGGCTCAACAAAATAATAGTTTACAAAACTTTGTAATAACTTTTAATAATTAATTTAAATTAATTTAAATTTAAAAAAAAATGTTTTTGAAACCAAATCAATCGAAACACAGAAATACTCAAAAATAAATATTTTCACCGATTCATCACTAGCACCACCTCTTAACATTAAAGCACGATTTTTAAACAGCACAAGGTCTTTTACATGCTGTCTGTGATTTCACGTTTATCTGCTACCTTTACCTTTGGGATGATCTACTTTAAGAAGTTAAACTTACACAGAAGTATCTGCAGACTAAAGTCTTAAATCTGGACAAAATGGTGACCAACCTAGAGGCCTGTTTCTGCACGAGAGGCGCTTTCGCTATGTGGAACATGCTATTGAAATGTACTTTTAAAATCAGACCAATATGAAATTTCGTTAGAGAGAACACAAGGGTTTAAGAAGAGAATGAAAGGAGAACACTTAATAAAAGCTGGACTCTCTCTGCAAGAAGAAAAGAGAAGAGAGATGCGTCTTTGCATTGCTCGCTTTCATCCTGAGCTCCAGATCAGTGATCAAGGAAGTAGCAGATATGTTTGGGGCTGTTCAACTCAAGAGTCTACTCAATTTATGTAGAGTTACTGGTGTCCGTTCCAAAATTAACAATTTTTCTATGATGAGTTATCAGAAGATGATGAACTTTTAAAAAGAAATGGCAGGCTTAGAAGACACTAAGGGCAACTGATATCGAACTTCAAATTAACATTAATGTAAAAATAATTATAACTTAACTTCTTCTTCTATATTTTTTTAGGGCCCTCAATCAATGTATTGATCATTCTGGCTTCTATATAATTGTTCTTGGTAAATTCAGTTCTTAAATTAAATATATTTACCTCCTGACCTTTATTAATTTCTTTTTGTTCTTGTCATTTTTATCTTGTGGACTTATTTTAATAATAAAAATCCATCTTGGAAGTCGGGAGGAAAAAAGGGGGGGGGGGTGGTTTGATATCATGAGTTTACCGCACCGGGTGACACCGACCCTAGCTACGCCACTGTGCCAAGGTGCTTCTTGACGTCTGGAAAGGGGGTGAAAGTTAGCAAGTCAGGCACAAAGTTGGCAAGCCAGACCAAAAAAATCTTAGAAATAATTATTCATTTTGGGCTTATAGCCTACTTACTTATAGGCCTACATAAGAAGATAAAAATATCTCTATGTCATTTCAGGTTTTCTTGGAAAGTTAGGGGGGGGGGCAAAACTTGGTTGGCTTGTTAAGTTGATTATTACTGGAGGCGCCACACTACATAACAATTTAAATAAAACCTGCAATATCGGGGGTTGGGGGGGGGTAGGCTCAGGTATCATCCAATGATCTTGGCTCAGGTGTGATGTACTGATCTAGGCTCAGGTATCATCTACTGATCTAGGCTCAGGTATGATCCACTGATCTAGGCTCAGGTATGATGTAATGATCTAGGCATTTTCTAGGTTCAGGTATGATGTAGGCCTACTGATCTAGTCTCAGGTATGATGGGTATGATCCACTGATCTAGTCTCAGGTATGATCAACTGATTCAGGCTCAGTTATGATGTACTGATCTAGTCTCAGGTATGATCTACTGATCTAGGCTCAGGTATGATCTAATAATAAAATCTAGCTAAGGCAGGGCTAGACATTTACTAGTGTAGAGAAGTTGATTATATTTTGTTGTAAGGAGACAGTTGTAAATTTAGAAATATTTCCAGCCCGGTAATAAAGGACAGCTTTAGTTTTCTCCTGTGACTTTTGAACATCATGTCTGCTTGGTGACAAAACTCAGTATTGTAGCGATTTTCCACTTAACCATTTGATTTCACAGATGAAGACTTTAAGCATACTTACACATTCATTGTTTTGTTGTCTTAATTCATGTTATAACATACCTTGTACTTTAAATGTCCTTTGGTGGCATCATTGGACAATTGTTTGGACTTTTATCAAATGACTGGGATATATAAATAATATAACAGCAATTTAGCGGCCCCAAAATTTAATTGCTGATACCATAAGTTAAAGACTAAGTTAACACCTTAGTGCAGGGGCTCTCAACCCTTTTTCGGCGCTATACATTTCCAGCACCCCTATCTTGGTTTCAAAACATATTTCCTGCACCTCCGCAATTTAAAAAAAAGCTTTAAAAATCTGTACAAACCTGATTTTCCGGGTCTTCTCACACCACGTGACACTGTCTCCTGCACCCTCATGGTTTAATACTCCTGTCTTAAAAAACACCCTTGGATAGACACAAGTCAGAGCTGCCACTGCATTTCCGTAGAAACCTTAGAGACTTTCTGGGTAGTCAGTGGGTAGATGCCTTAGCGACATCATTGGGTAGACATCTTAGAGTAGTTAGAAACACCACTGAGTACACAATTTAGTTACACCATTGCCGCGATTACCTTTAGCTAATATTAATTTAACAGATTTTTAAGTCCACTTTTTAGTGAAAGAGCCACAGATATGAATAACATATGAACACGAATGGGAGACAAGTAATATGGTTGATATTTCTTGTATAATATATACAGAGAGTTAGGACTTGGGATAAACTGACCAATCAGAGATTTAGTTGAATAATGGCATTGAATAATGGAGTTTGTTTTGGATTGGAGAGAAGAATTAACAGAGACCATTAACGTATTAAGATTTATATTTTGAGATAATATCAAGTAAAGTAAAAGAAGATTATTTTATTTAGAAGTTGAATAGTGATTAAAATTCACGTTCCAAGTATCTTCAGATTTTGTGAAATGTATTTATTATTGTGACTGTCCATATTACAATGATGAGTCACTTAAAGTGTCACTTACTAACTAACACACATATTCTTGTGAGGGTCTGAGATTACTCTCTTATAACCCCGGCTAGTAAATTGGCTATCAACTCCATCTGTTGAGCTGAGCCATACATTTTCCTCACAAAGGATCCTCCAACCGCACTGGCTTCCCACGGGAGATCTAGTGAGGGACATTCGGTCAACAGGTGCTCTAGGGTCTCCAAGGCCAGGCTGCAATGCCGGCAGGTAGGATCCCTGTTGTTATCCAGCCGCCAGAAATATGTGCGCAAGCGACAGTGCTCGGTGCGCATCTGCGTCACTAAACTCTGCGATCTGCGTCCTAACCCCCACCATGGGTCTTGTTTGCTAGGAGTGGGCACGTTTGAATAGACGCCTCTGGCGGTCGTGTTGTCAGCCCATTGCCTGTACCACTTCTGCCTGAAGTGGTCCGCCAGCGAGTTTTTGATTCCCAAAAAAGTCATTGGTACTTCTGGCTGAGGCTGGGCAGCCCCGGTTTTCGCCAGAGTGTCCGCTCTCTCATTGCAACTGATGTTGACGTGCCCTGGTATCCACTGTATTGTAACCTTGCCCCCTAGTTCACCAAGTTTGCATACGTCGTTGGTAATGACGTCGACCAAGTGTGTGGTACCTTCATTTGAATCACTTGGCATCCAGTATGATTCATAACGAAATTATTACAGTGACAGAAAGGATTTTATTTTTATTTTGGTTTTTCATTTGTTTATTCCTTGCTATTGAATTTGGTATACTTTCAAAAGGATCCCACTTTGTAACTATTCATTATTATCTTAAAATTTTCATCATTTATATGTGACATCAATGAATCAATGCATACCACAAGAACTTATGTTTTGTTTTAATTGCCTTAAAAATAACTTAACAGCTTCATTTCGGACATCCTCTCATGCCGCCTGTTGGATATCCATATTCACTGCTGATTGCCAGTGATCAGCGATATTCCCCCATTTGTGAATTTTCATATTGGCTTTTTGTGTGTAAAAGGGTTCCCCCAGAAGTACAGCAATACTTGGATAGTCCCTCTTCAAAGTATGTCCTTTTGGGTATCTTGTGGCTCTCCCTTTTGCTCTCGACGATCAAGGCCCAAGCTGAAAAACCAGGGGAGATATCACATTCCCCCCACCAGGTATGGTAACCCGGCATGATAAGAACATCCCCTACACTCTGATCTTAGCTAACAGGCCGAGAGGCTATCACATTATTTGGGGGCTTACTCAGCCATAATTGCTTCCCTTTTTTTCATTATTTCCCTCATGTTTCTTTAATTCATGCCTCTAATAATTCACTATACGAATTGCAAATATTACAGAAGCTCCGTTGTTTATGTTACTTCCCTTGATAAAGTTGGGCAAAGATGGCTTTATTAAATGAGATTAGATTTCAATATTTTTGTTTTTTTTAGTTTTATAAGTAACCTATGTGACGTGACGTACGTTGTCTAGGGGTCGGTCCCCTCTGTACTAGCCACAGAACAATTTTACAAGGGTCTAGAACCCCTTTATTTCCAGCTCCTACAGAGCTGACTCTTGCTCCAAGTATCAACAAACAATTCAGGGTTTCATGTTTTCTTATTTATTGGCTATGTGTGCCTATATGCCACTACACAAAACAGTTAAAGTTACACAAGTCCTCTTCCATCCGTAGAAAAACTCACTGCCTTTTCAAGACAAAAATCATACACCATATCCACAGCACTCGCCACTGTTCACTCCTTAAAAACTCAACTCACACACGTGGTTTTTTTCTAACACAGCACACCGGTCATACCTTGACCGAGAAAAAATAAAAACTCGTGGGGCACACGGGGAAAATAAACTCACCCACGATTGGTCAAATTAACATTATAGAAGTTGACACAAAAAACTCACGCGATCTGACCGTGACAACCTAGAGCAGGTTGTGGTGTTTCCCATTGGGATCCTTCAGCTTTTCCAGGTCAAATTTGATTCTGGTATTTCCTTTTTTGTTTACCCTCTTTAAGAGCCGACTCATCACTCTTCGTCTAAGGGCAACACCGTTCAACATGACCATCGTGCAGGCGTATGCACCAACTACAGATTATAGTGACGAAGATGTGGACGACTTCTACCATCAACTACAGGATGTGCTAAACCAAACACCCAAGAAGGACGTTCTTGTATGTCTTTTTCTCCTCAAATACCAAATTTCACAAAATCCTATAATTCTTCCACTGGAACATATTGAGCCAGACCTCTACTTTTCTTTCATTACAAATTTTATAATATTAAATATATTTTCATTGCAAATTCAAAACAAGTAAAAACTAAGTAAAATTTAAGTAAAAGAGCTTTTAATACCATACTGTCAGCCTTATATGGAACTATTTATCTTTCATTTCTCTCATTTTTTTCCTTATATTGTAATAAAATATAAGAATCACATGGGTTGTTGCAAAATTAATATTAATTCTAAACTAGTTTGAAATGTATTTTTCTCAAACTGCCATTTTATCAGATATGTTATAGTAGTAGCCTAATAGCCATACTTTATATTGTAATAAAGTAATGCTTGAAAAACTCTGATATGATAATTCAAGATTACGGTTTAGTAATAATAAATATCAGCATCATCATCATGAATAAGAAAATGAATGACTGTATTTTGTGGGTTGGCTTGGGATCCATTCAAACAGTTTGTGACTCAAAGTTATACCCCCCAAAAAAATGATGTCAAATAATAAATATATCACTTCTTTCAAAAGTTTGTCAGAGGAATCATGAATTTTACAGTAATAAAATAATGCAGTTCACAAGACAACATTGGAAAAATTACATGATGGGATTTTGAAGCTTTCACATATAACAGAATTTAATGAGATCTAGGTTTCTCTGATTCTGTAAATTGAAAAAAAAAAATTGCATCCTCTACCCAAGACTCTCTTCCTCCCCTTCCCTACTCTTATTGCTTTTTGATACATTATTAAAACTTTGAACAATGCTGAGAGTCAAGGACAACTTTGTGCAATAAAAATGAAAAATACTTAATTTTTGCAAAAATTATTCTATCATATTTTTAATCCAATAGATTTTATTGTTGAGGATGTTGGTCAGGACCACATTCATCATAAGTGATCGATTTATGAGTTAATCTATTCTTAAACTCATCAACCACCCTTTTACTCAGACCTTCTATAGTTAGGGTTGATCCAACTAACGGTAGACATTTTTTCTGATCAGTTCCTTTACTTTTCTTTCTCTTTCTTTTTTGTTTTTTTGGTAATTCCTCTGAAGCAGTTTTTTCTAAAAATAGCTTTTCTAAGAAAATAGAAACAAGCCAATCTTGCTCTTGTTTTATCAGACTCTGAAAATATAAAGTATTATTTCTGTTATTCATCTTCTTATATGAGGAGTATCAATCACAATTTTCCATGAAGAAAGTTTCTCAAAATTTTGAAATCAGAACAATTAATAATCTTTTAAAATGAAAATACAGCATTCACCAAAACTAGTTGTTCTGAAACTCTTGCATCTTCAATGCCGAATGCATACTTGCTTTTTGTCAAGGTTCATATATGTAGATGCCACTTAACCATGGAAGTGAAAAGGATTAGGTACTTTTTGTTTTGAAATGGGTCTGTCCATGAAGGAAAAAATTATTTATATTTGAGCAATATTTTACTCATGCGTTAGTCAACGTAAAGGGTGACCCTATTTTAAAAAAGGGGGGAAAAGCAATTCCAGGAGCGATTTTTTTAAAGGGGCGCCAAGGTGGAAAGGTAAAATGTCAACAGAAGAGAAAGTCTGATTGACCTGTTAACGAATGTGACTTTCATCGAAGAATCACTTATTCTTATTAAAATCTTGAACCTCGAACACCACAGCCAGAAGTGTCCACAACACATCATTCTGTCCTGCATTTATGGCTCCGCCAAGCATTGTCCAACATGTACCAGGGAACAAAATACAAATATATCCTTAACAGCGAACAGATACATGGATGATGTTCAGCTTGAAGGATGTTCCTCAAAGACGTCACAGGGGCCAACACAGCACCTTCTGAAGAGCATGAGCGTCATAGAAAAACATACTGTTCTATCAGATGTCCTCTTCCAATCATAGACGCAATACACAGTTGCACAATACACAGTTACACAATACACATTTACACAATACACAGTTTCACAATACACATTTACACAATACACAGTTTCACAATACACAGTTACACAATACAGTTTCACAATACACAGTTACACAATACACAGTTTCACAATACACAGTTTCACAATACACAGTTTCACAATACACATTTACACAATACACAGATGAACACTTCCTTAATGGCAAAATTTTGTAACAATAGAAAGCGTAACCGTGTTACTTGGTGCCATGTTATTAAATCTCTCTTGGCATTGTTCTACCCCCTTTATTCAGAAATGATCCTCCTTCACGAACGAACAAAAATGATATCAATTTTGAAAAAAATTGTTCCTTCCAATTTGACCCATTTCCAACAAATTCCGTAACACTATTTTTTTGACACTTCAGAGAATACTGGTGGCTGGAGCTGTGCACTATTGACAAATGCACATATGCATTCAAGATCTAACAGTCTCAATAGTTACTTTTGGCGCATATTGTAAGTGAAGAAATGCAAAAATAAAATATCTTTTTTTGTAGGAAAACTTTTAGGAAAATGTTGTTTTAAGTTTGCCAAATACATTTGATATTTGATATTTTGCTTTATTTATCACTAGGAAGTTGATGTATCAACGTAATGAATTAAAGGGGAAAATTTATATTTTAATTTCCTTATCTAATTTGAGTTAATGTACATGAAATTAATTATACAAAGGGTACAATGGAAAGACTGATAATTACCTCACATAAAAGAGTCGCATCCTTTTTAAGAGAGAGTTTGACAGTTGTAGATGATATAAGATGATTTAACTGATCAGTTAACATTGCAGCTGCCTTTTTTATGTTTTCTTCTGAAATTGCCCCAAATGACACTAAAGAAGAAGATATTTTGTTCCTGAGCATATCTGTGTCTTCTGTATAACTATTTCTTGCTCCCTCTGAAACAAAAAATTATTTATTTTAAAATGAAGCAAATTTTAATTCACACCACAAAAAAAATTCCAAAAATGTGGATGTTTATTTATGGTATAAATGTTTAAAACCAGGGCCATGCAAAAGGGAGGGTGTTGTGGCAAGGTAGTACCTGCCCCGGGCACTTGCCTCAGATACCATCTTCAGAAGGTGTCAAAATAATTTTTCTTGCAAAATATTTGTATTAATATATACATATTTGGGAAGAAGGTGCCCAAACGGATGCTTGTCACGGCCCTTGTTACGATGCATCCAGTTAATTACTTAATTATTTTCAACTCACTTCTTTTAATAGAGATCACATCAGCATTCTTCTCCTCATCAAGGTTAGAGAAACGTTTGCACAACTCTTTCTCAAAAGCCTGTAGAACAAAACACTATTACACTAACTATATTGAATCTTTACCATAAGATAATTATATCTGCTGTAATACAGAATGCATAATCATAAAACGTAACAGTAATGACATTCCAGCATCTTAAACGTGTACGTGCTTTTGACAACGGTGCATAGTGCCAGCGCCATGTGTTCCCTGAGGTGTCAGGAAGTTGTTGAGTCTTTCAACAGTGAAAAAACGTTCCATAATTGAGCACTATTTTAGCTCATATGGAACTGGTCGTGGAAAGGAGGAGGGGGGCGGGGCGGGCGCGAGTTTAAAAAAAGGTGTCAGAACAATTCAAAGAGAAATTCAATAAGAGTTATGCTACTTATAGTCAGGAAATTTCATTGTTCAGTAAGGTTACTGCCGCAATGGAAGGGTAAGAAGTCGATCAGTTAAATTTTCAACTAATAATAATGGGCGTATTCTGAAGCAGATTCAATATGCCCTAGGAAGTCTATGACGAACATCAGCAATATGTCCATTCCCTGCATCTCTAAGGGCATAGGTGCATTTTCGTACCATATACAGGTTGGACAATGCTTGACAGCCAATTATGTGAGCTAGAAAGATGTATTTTAGAGTATTTTTGACCATGGTGTCCATATTTTAGGAATGAGTGGTTCTTTGAGGAAAGCCACATTCACTTGGACAGTTACATCAATAACTGGACAACACAGTTCCTTGGTTTTGAGTGGCCAGATATTATTGTCCAGATACTGCTACATGGCGCATATGTGAACATAGGGTGTGCTGATTCAGCACACACTCAGTATATCGTCCCCCTATTTCCTTGAGGATGAGGAAGCCAAGGCTACTTTTCCTAGATATTTGCGAGACATAGTATACTTACAAGATTTTACACTTAAGTTGTGTGAACTAATATTTGTATCTTTTGAGGATTGTACTTTTTCCACTATATCTGTCTATTTGATTTTGAATTCTTTATATAAAATTAATAGTATAATAAATTGAATATTGGTAACATCACTAGCTTTGGTATCATATTTCTTTGTCTACTGGTTTTCATTCCTTTGTTACGTAGTGTTCATTCTACAAGCCAAATCTTAAAGCAGATTAAATTTACAAAACCATAGAATGGTACATAACAGTTTGAACATTTATGTGAGCCATATGAACACGGTCTACAACAAGGCGGTGCACACTATGAACATTACCATTATGCATATTGTGGTAAATCAACATGCTAATGGTAAGTATGTTAGTTTCTTTCAGAAAACATAAGTCTACAGATGACAACAAAGACATATTATTTGTCTTTTCTTTTCAGTGAGGTTACTTTTGGCTCATGCTGTAGTTTTTGATTTCCTATCATGTGATCAATGAGGAATCAAATGCATGTAAAAAGCAGTCAAAATTCTCCTGGTGTATTGATTGATTGATTGTTTGAATGATTGATTGATTGAATTTTTCCTACAATTTGTTTGTAGTCAAAATCGATGCCTAAAAATGTTTAATATTGGAAAATAAATCAGTTTAGCTTTCAACCAATTTTACGAGAACATGAACTGAAAATGTTACTTATGTGTAAAAATCGATAGATCATCCGTTCATCGGTGAATGAGAAGCTTTTAGTTTTTTTATAATTTATCTTTTTTGTGCAGTTGGTCACTGAAGATATCTAATAGCCCAAGTGTTGACTTTTCCTTAGTGGTTCATTGTCTTCAGTGAGTCAAGCTTACCCAGAATACTCAGCGACACATAACTTTTTCTTATCACAAATTTTGGGGGTCATAATTCTATAAGCCTCCACAGATTTGTAAAACGTATTGGTAGACACAGAAAAAAATAGTGACAGGTAGACACAGAAAAAAATAGTGACAGGTAGACACAGAAAAAAATAGTGACAGGTAGACACAGAAAAAAATAGTTACAGGTAGACACAGAAAAAAATAGTGACAGGTAGACACAGAAAAAAATTGTGACAGGTAGACACAGAAAAAAATAGTGACAGGTAGACACAGAAAAAAATTGTGACAGGTAGACACAGAAAAAAATAGTGACAGGTAGACACAGAAAAAAATAGTGACAGGTAGACACAGAACAAAATAGTGACAGGTAGACACAGAACAAAATAGTGACAGGTAGACGCCAATGTTAAATTATAAACAATTCAATAATTATTTGAAAAGGAAAAAAATAATTAAAAACATGATCTTAATTTTAAGTTTGGAAAAAGTAGTTTGATCATTAAAATAGGATTTTGTAAAGCTTTCATTTATCTACTCATTTCACCTTCCTATAGAGTTTGTCCTCTACTACCAACACAATGTGTCTCTGTCTGAAGATAACTTTCTCAAGCAGAAGTTGGTCCAGTATTTGAAAAACCCTGTGGGTCAAAAACTTTTTAGGGTATTTGGGTTGAGCATGGAGCCCTGGAGGTACAATGTGAACTGCTTCAAAGTCAGAAGATCCAAGCAAGCAGGCCTCAAGGGCATCATGAATAGCCTGAGGAATACAATCTGCATTTCAAACAAAACTGTATACTTTTTACTTCCATAAGGAAAGATTATTTCATATTTGATTCTTATCATTAATTAGCTAATTATCAAATTTAATACTTGAATTATTGGAATGATTTGATAATATGCTTAAAATATAATATGCTTAAATATAATTATAAAGCTGTACTAATATAGGAATTAAATAATTGTATGGGTAGTTAATTAATTTTTTGTACAGACTGACCCTGCGGTCCGCCTACAGAGTGTTTATTATCTTTATTTCACTTAATCTAAACCGTAAACTCAATTCACCATTTCACTATCAAAACTCCATTCTGGGCAGGCGTATAGCAAAGCCTCTCGGTTGCCTTCCAAACAGCTGACTTGTAGCGAGTCCCCAACTGACAGACCTTCAGGGTAGTTCATTTGGAATTTACGAACTGCTTGCTCTAAATCTGGTACGGAGCAGAACTTCTCCTGCAGGATAGGGCATGAAGAAGTGTCCAGGTTTAGCGGCACGGGGTAACACACCAAAGTTCTGGTATCCTGAAACGGTATTACATAATTTGGTGCATTGATCTCATCTCCATGACAACAGTGAAATGCTTCTTTTTTCAAATAGTGAAACTGGAATTAACAATAAACCAATAGATCTCCATCTTAGATTAGCTATAAGTGGAAAGATGAAATGGTGACATATGTTTAACTATAAGACGAAATGGAAAGAAGAAGTGGAAACATTTGTATATCTGTTACTTACAACAACTTGATGACTTTGAGGCTCCACTTTGACTTTGACTTTCAGTTGTCTGTAATCAGTCACTTTTGTTTCGTCTGTAATAAATGTTGAAATACTGGTAGAAATCTAAAATATAATTTGGTGTCATTCAATCATAAATGATGTACTTCAATCAAATTTGGTGTCATTCAATCATACCTGACCTACCGGTACTTCAATCATATTGGGTGTAATTCAAGCATATCTGGTGTAATCTGACGCCTTATGTACCCACTAGAGAGCTCCGCTCATCCGATAGTGGCAAACTCTCGACACCACGTGTTTGCCTTGAGACTTATGAAAAGCGCACTTTTGCATTTGCTGGTCCAACAATTTGGAACGCCCTTCCTGTCGATCTCAGAAACAACTAGACACTGGAGTCCTTTAAAACCGATTTAAAGACACATGTATTTCGCAAACACCTTCTGGGATGATTGTCTACCTTATTTTCCAGTTAATGCATAATGGCTGTGTTGCTTATGGTTGAAATGGCTAGAAAGACTTTGCCATTGTATGCTTGTAATTAGTTTTTGTAGTGTTGTGTTTGTTTTAAATGTGGTAAATTATAGATTTGTTTTTTGTTGACTTTGTACAGCGCTTCGAGCCTTTGGGGATGAAGCGTGTTTTTGAAATGAACTTTATTATTATTATTATTATATTTGATGTAATTCAATAATATTTGGTGTAATTCAATCATATTTGGTTTATTCTTAACACATTTGGTGATGAAAAAGTTACAAATTTAACAATGAAATTAATTTCAGAAAAAAGAATGAATATTTATTTGGCCATATTTACCTGGTAGAGAAATTCTTTCCCAACTGTTTTGGTCAGGTGGTCCAAAACTTAAATTAAACTTGCCCAGAATGGATTTAAAGGCTTCAAACAATTCCACACTGCCTGGCTCACAAATATATACATCAGGATTATTGACATCAAAGCTAAGATTTTTACTTTTATACGTCCCTAACAGCTGGCCCAAAACAATTTCTGCTAGGCGGCTGAAAGATAATCCGGACTCGGCATCATGCAAGGGGGCAGTTGAAAACATAAGACTGGCACAATGCATGTACTTAGCCTGTTGAAGGACTAGAGATATTGAGTTTTTAAAGCTTTCTTCCATTTGACTCTCCTGATTTGAAAAGCATGCTGGGAATTGCAACACCAAGTGACTGCTTGTTCCTTGAGGCTTTACAGAACATTCACTGACTGGAAAAGAGAAGTTTGAAAAATATACAAAAATTGTGATCAGATAACATATATATAGAGCCTATAACATATAAATATATTTAGACTAAGGTTTAACTTTTCTTCAGTAATTATGCAGTGAAAGAAAGAATAAGTTTACCATTACCTTTAGATGGGGAAAATTCCACTTTCAACTGAGGTTTGCTGTTTTTAATATTACCGATTAGCAGATGAAGATTGAAGCCATTGCACATGGCTGTTCCAAGGGAAACAATTCTATAGTCAGGTCTTGTTAGTTGTTTATCTTGGGGAAGTGAAACTTCATCTGGGAATTCTACAAAACATTGACAAGTGGTGGATATGGATTCAATGAACTCCAGGCCATCCAATGTTTCAACAAAGTGTTCCAATCCAGGAAAGCAGACATGCTGGGTTTCAAACTGAATCATTTTAAAAAGACTTTCCATTTTCTCACAGATTGAGTCTACAACCTCCTTGGAAGTGGCCTTGACCTCAATAGAGTCAGTGTTATAGTTGAGTTGTGCTGAAAAGTCTTTGTGGGTTTCTATCAAAGTGTCCAGGTCATGTTGTAGAAACATGCTGTAGCAAGCACTTTCCTGGGGTGTTAGAGAGTATACGCGGGTACTCAGGGGCTCTTCTAAACTTTTTGAACGATAAAACAATTCGCCAGTCTCTGTTTTATCATTCATCAACCTGTATGATCTTCGTTCACCACTTGATGCCAATCGGCTGAAAGATGAATGGTGCACAGTAAAGGTGTAGATTTCAGGAGGTGCACGTTTGAAATTACTGGTTTTAATTTCAGACTGTATAGGAAAAACCTTGACCTTGGGTTCATTTAAAATGTCATCTTTATTCATTTCTTTTTGTGGTGACTTTTCCAGAATATTTTCTGCTCTATTAACTTTGATCTCTTTGACAGTTTTACTATCTGCTGATGCCTGTTTCATAAAAGCTCTTTTAAATTCTTGGTCATTTTGGTCCAGAGTTTTCCCCTCAAATTTCATGGCTAACTGTCTAACATTTAATGACTGTTTGCTAGTGTCTTTTTGGGAACTTCCGTTGCGGCTGTCCTGACTTTCAGGCCTGGAATCATTACCTTCCTTTAATTTCATCATGTCTTGAGTTGAAACAGTAGGTTGAGGAGGGGAATCCCCCAGAAGAGAAACAAACTCATTTATATTTCTTAAAATAGTTGTACAATCTTTGCCTTCGCTAACTGTCAAAAGTGTGACATCTTTGTTATCTACGATTATGCGACTCAGTGGGTGTGTAGAATGTATTGAGTCAACAAAGTCCCGCCATTCTGGTTTGTTCTGATAAGATGCTCGGGCAAATGGCTGACAATATCTTTTCACCAACAATAAGGAAATCAATTCTTGAAAGGAAGTCTGGAAACAAAATAACTCGTTAGAATTTTAAAAGTTAGCAAATGAATTATATTTCAACTAAAAAAAATATATTTATAATTTAACCACTTTCCTGCAGTCTTGATAAACTAGTTATAGCCCGGCAAAAATGCAGCGGCAATGTGTGAACTTCCCATCTACTAAAGTTAGTGGACAAAAACATGCATTCAAGTAACGCACTTTATGAGAATCCCAATTAGTGCGACATCCCCTCCTCCGAGGTACACCTCCGCACACTTTTTTCATGCCCCTGAAACATGTTAATATTCTAATGTCCCACCCCCTTGTACTTCACAGATATTTTCCCCAATATTTAAATTGAGACTATTTCCATAAAACAAAAGAAAATATTACGCACCAAAGGGACTTGCGATATTTTTAAGAATCTCATGTAGCACAGTTATCAGGAATTTTATTTTTCCTTCTATTGAACTCACCCTTACATCATACTTTCTTTCATACCTTGAGAATTGTATGTATTGATTATCATGTTGGTTGTAATGCAGTTTGAAAATAAAAATATTAATGAAAATATTAAGAAAATTATAAAATTAAAGTCCTATTGACCTTAAATTTGAAGAAGCATAGAAGATACTATTTTTAAGAAAATCATATGTCCTGTTATTTGTACCAATTTCGTTTCACATCTTCAGCAATCAGATTAAAACATGGATTTATCTTTATGTGAAACCTCTGTTATCAGGTTAGCCATATTTCTACAGTGAATTACCGGGCAGTTAAAGTTATTTAGCTTCATTTATGATAATTGATTAATAATTTCATTGAAAAACAAGAGATTATATCGTGGTAAAAATGAGTAATCTTAATCATATACTTTTGAATTACTTACCTGATGATTACCTTCCTCTGTCACAATGAAACCTTCACCCCATTCATTATTGATATCAATACAATATCCAGCTTTTCTTACAACAGATTTCATATGTTGAAGAACATGTGACTCTGCCAGGAAGTCCTCCTCATCATCAGTCAACACAATCTGTTGGGAGGGACCATTATAAATATTTTAATACATGTCTTCCTTTTAAAACATAAATAGAAATAACTAAAACCCTGGACTCTTTTTTCAGGATAATTGTTGATAATTATTTGTGTAAAAGCGTTTAATCAACTGACATGTTAAGTATTTATTTATACCCTTTTGTTGTAAGTGAAAAGGCTTAATCAGACATTTTACTTATAAAGTCTTATGTTTACCTTTTCTTCCTGTGATAATACTAATGTCTTTACTTTCTCTGCATCATCTCCCTTGCCACTAATAACAACTTCGGTGTCATCGACCTTCAACTCCATTTTTAGACCCTTATATTTCTTCATGGCTGCCGATTTTAAGTCTAAAATGTCCAAAAGCCAGACATAAAACTGATGCCTGCAAATTATGGTGAATTTACTTAAATTCTTTTTAATTTCTGAAGAGCTATCAGATGCTTGACTATTTTGATCAAGTGTCTTTTCATCATGATTATCTTCCTTAATCAAGGGATTTGTCATCACTGATCCGTTTGGGTCAGCATTCAAGGCCATGATATGGTGTCTGTCCTCCGGAACATCCAGTGTCCACGTACAAAAGTCACTGTTGATAATGCTGAATGATGTGTCCTCAGGTGGTTGTGGGCTGGAAACAAAGCTGACTGATTCTTTGGCGTCTATAGAGTAATGCTGGACAGGGCTACATGTATCTTTGTGTGAGACCCACTGCAGACTTCCTTCAACGCTCTCACTTGGATTTGACTCAATGTTTCCAAAAGACAAAATTAATAACAGAAAGTCTTGTAATGATATCTGAAATTCATTAAGAATCCAGTTATTAGATCAAAGTAAAAAAAATATTTGCAATTGACTTTATTTTTTTTTAATAAAAGGGTTTAAAAATTTTTTGGGAAAATTAACAATAGAATAAATGTTCCACACATCCACAAAATTAATCATTAGAATAAAAAGCCATCCATATCATTACAAATCCATTCATTAACTGACCTAATGACCTTTCACTGATTTGTAATGGAACATGAAAGTAACAATATTTTTACTAAGTTTAACTTCATTATATGGAGGATACAGAAGAGGTTGTGAACTCACCTCATTATCAGCATAATCTTTGACAAACATTGTCAAACTTAAATCCCCATCTAACACAAGGTGCCATTTGGACTGTAGCACAAATGTTTCAACATGTTTCTGAAAACTTTCATCAACAAGAAGTTTCTCATCAGCTTCAGTGAGAGAAATCTGAAATAAAAGAGAAAAAAAAACCAACATTTAAACTATGGCATTGCTGACTTGAAAGAGAAAGTTCAACAAGAAATTTCAACTTTTGAATTTGATTTCCAATTCTAGGAGAAAGCTGCCTGGAAGACGACATTAGAAAAGGAAGCTTTTCTTGAAAACATGCACCTATAAACATGAAATGGTGTCAGGAAAAGGATTATGAATTACATGCCATTTTTATTGTCAGAAGGAAATTAAAAAATCAAAATACTCATCAACTGCCTTTAAATTTTCAAATGGTAGTCTAATATATATATATATATATATATATATACATATATATTATATATTCAATAAGAAATAGTTGTCACCTGTTCAGTCTCTAACGTTATGACATCTTTAAGAAGTCTTGCTTCACCTTTTTTTCCATTGATGATTATAGCAGATTCAAGCTCACTCATCTCAACTGTTGCACTTTTGAACTTGTCTGTAATGGCTGCTTTCAGATTTAGAACATGGAAAAGCCAAACAAAATACTGGTGTTTACAAATTATTTTTTTCTTTGTTTCTTCATTTCCCTGAGAAATCAGACTGACCTGGACATTTCCTTCTGGTATGTCAGATTTCTTGCCTGAGTCATATTTCAACAGTTTTTCAATTGATCTTGGCGCATTTTGAGACAGTTGTTCAGCATTCATTTCACTAGAAGTTTTTGAACTTCTTTCTAAAGGCACATTAGAGGCTTGGGTGTTTTGGCCTTGGGTATATTGGCTTTGCCTGTTCAAGATATTTTCTTGAGAATAATCAAGTTTCTTAAATTCCAAGTTTTTAGTGTTATCTAGTCTTGTTGCAAGCAAAATATTGCTGTTGATTAAGCTGACCATAAAATCCAAATCATGATGCTTATAAGCCAGAGATAACAGACTCACTGAGTTGCCTGAAACAAAAATCTGGCGATGTGAGTAGGTACTGTTGAAAGAATCGCTAAAATACACCCAATCTGCACTCTTTTTAAAATCCTCGCTGGGCAGGGGAGAACAGGATCTTGTGATAACTAGTGATTTGAGAAATTCATTAAATGTCATCTGAAAATAATGAATATTTGTAAAAATTAAAAAATGACTTCCCAGATTGTCTCAATTGTGTTTCATAACAAATAACACATACCATCATATCATTTCCAATAACACATACTCATACATAAACTGTTCAACTTGGCTTATAAATATATTAATTAATATGATGCAATAGTTAGACTTGTAAATCGTTTATGAAAATGTATAAGAATATCAATAGCTAGAAAATCTATTACAAAAATGAAAGTTACAATTGCTTTTTTTTCAAACTACTTTTGTAACATGCAAAGTATTTCATTAAGTTAAATCAAAACTGTTTTAAATCGATATTATTTGTTGAAAGGTAATCATTATTGTCAAAATAACACAAAATTTTAAATCTTAAATGTGAAAAACTAAAAACGATTTTTATGCTGCCTTATATTATACCTTCTGGTCATCTTTATTAACGACAAGCATTGCTAGTTCTGGACTAGCAAATTCAAAGTGCCACTCTAAATCTGTTATCAGGGCCTTTACATCTTTCTGGATATTTTCACTGGAGATAAACTGTTTCTCCAGGTTGCTGAAAGGCATCTGACAGGTAAAAACGAAAAAAATGAGAAAGCCTGAAGATTAAAACAATTTTGTTCCTGCAAATCAGGAATTTTGCTCTTAATTTTGTAACTGTATAATTCTAATTTTCCATGGCTGAAATAAGCACTAAGTAAAAATATACATGTACCCGGGTCAACAAATTTTAGGAGAAATTTTCTCAACTACTTAGCAGAATAAAAAAAAATAATTCTCAAATCCATGTAACTATTTTAGAAATAAAACTCACTAGTTTAAAATAAGATTTTTAATAAAAAATTTCTGCAATATAATGGCTGTCAAACATGAAAAGGCATTCAATAATGGATGTTTAAAAATCTAATCTGTTAAGTGAACAATTTTAAAAATTAAGGTAGCCTACTATATATTTTGAATGCTGGAAAATTTTAAAAGCCCATTGTTTGGTTTACATTTCAATTTTAAAAAACCAAGTTTCACAGTTACCTTTGAATCTTCCCTGGATAAGATCTTGTGAATTTGTTTAACTAGCGCGGAAGGCCCCACAATTTCAGCCTCTAATTCTGTGTGATCGATTTCTATTGTCAAGTTACTGTCATGTTTTTTAAGTGCACTTTGGAAATTTAAGAGATTGAGTAGAAATGGAAGCAACGAATCTTGAAAGAAGAATGTTGATCTTTTAAGCTCAATTCGTTCTTTGATAGTCTTAGTGAAATCAGCAAGTTTTATTGTTGAACCAGAACTTTGTACATTTTGAAATTTCATTGTTTCTCCTCCAGAATGATGAATTGTGGATTGGGAATTAATTCTGGGGTTTAACTTTTGTAAAAGTTGTGTCTGTGTTACAGTGTGAATAGCTCTTGGACTTTCTTTTGTAATTTCTTTCAGTTTTATTTGAGAATCCAGTTTCTGGTTCTCAAATAATCTTCTAAACTGGTCATGTACAGGTTCTTTGAAGCAATTGAAATAGGGACAGACTGTTAAAACTGTGTTTTCAATTTTCCATAAGCGCTCACAAACAGCCACAACTACATCTGAAAATGTACATAAATCATTTTAAAAAATATTTTTGAAGCAGAAGAGACATTAATAGAAAAATAATTAAATTGGAAATATGGAGACAAAAATTAGTTTAAAGCAGCACATTCTAAAACTGTTATGTACACCTGGCAAGTTCAATTTTTTCATTCCAAGATGCTAAATTTTAAAGTTTTTAAAAAAGTCAAAACTATCTCACCCCAGCCATCTTTGAAAACAACTTCAAAACAGTTTTCCATCCTAAGTTTATTAACGGCTGTCACTTTGCCTCCGCCTTGTCTCTTGGAAGAAAAAAGCAAGGAGAGTTTATCAACAGCACCAACTTTCAACGATCCATGTGTTTGGACATATGCACTCAAAGTTGATGCCACAATCTCAAAAACCAAAGTATTACTTTGCATTTTTAAGCTCCTCTGCTGTTTGCAGGCTGAAATTTTCTCTTGGTCTGAAATAAGATAATAAATAATAAGAAATTCCTGAAATAATTTTTAGAGAAGAAAATGTCATTTCTTTGCAGTTTTATAATTTTGTAGACATCATTTTCTGCTGCCTATCCAAATTCAAAAGGCCTAGAATCCCAAATAAAAAAATTGAAAATAAAATCAATAGCAGCATACCAATAGTTTTTTCAAACATTGCGACTGCCCTGGTCATGGCTAAAGGATCCATCCAAATTCTTTGAACATTTTCCTCCTGGAATGTAAGCATCAGGTAATCTTTTACAGCTTCTTTCTTTGTTTCTAATGGAAAACCATTGATCAGCAGCAAATTTGACATTGCTGCTGGTCTTTATTAGCTTTGAATTTACAGGGACAGCTGTGAACATCAAGACTGTAAGAGAAAAAAAAGGGAAAAAAAACTTAAATTTTAGTAATCTAGAATTAATGCTAATTGTTGGATATAAAAAAAACTGCTTGATCTGAAAGTTAGTTTTAAAATCAACCAACTCAATTACAGGAATTTATAGGAAGTAAATGTTTTATAAAATAATTTCTTTTGCTTAATTTCAAGAAAAAAATTAATTATCAAATAAGTCTTTCAAAACAGGCCTACTGCATTATTACAAAAATATGAACGATACAAATTTTATTCTGTCCACAGTATATCAACAATTTGCGCATCCTAAATTGTATCCACAAGAAACTGCTAAGTGTCTGACTAACTTCTGACTCAGCTCATACCAACACTCAACCAATTTCATGAGTCTTATTATTCCATGTTAAATAACAAAGCTTAAACTTAATAGACAATGTTAAAATAATGTAGCCTAACAAATTTTACAAAGTTCTTACACGTTACTTAATTTACTTAGCTTTGTCATTATCTTACATTTATATATTTAGACAATAAAGAATGATAAAGTTAAAAAACACAACACACTTAAAATGCTTCCAAAGTCATACCAATCTTCTACTTTTAATATATTGTTATGAACACAGAGTAGACAAAATTTGCCCACATTAGCATTAAAATGTTTCAAAGAAAATTCAAAACATCTTCACCATTTTTAAGCTTATACTTCTATCAAATAAGAGATAATTTTTTCCATTCTACTAACAAACTTCATTTGCTCAATATTTGTTCATCTTCAGTTAATTTAGATATTTTGTTCTTAGACTGATGACCTCATGACTGGTTCTAAACAAGTAAAGATCTCCTGATGTGGTAAGTTAATGGTATAATTTCTCAATGTGTGAGTTTGAGCTTAGTCCTGTTTCAAAATTCAGTTGTAGGGTAATAGTTTCATGTCCCTAAAAAATCAGAAAGTAATCTTTGTCCAAGAACATAAATGATTATTGTAGTAATCACTGTTCCCTTTGGCAGCCAAATCAACAAAAACATTAGTTGACCCTCCAAGACATGTCATCAGACACCATGATTCCTGTACTAAAGAGGCTTTTGAGCCTCTTTGTTTGAAGTTAATTTTTTGGAAGGACATTTGAATAATACTTAATAATACATTCACTTTTAGAATTTACTGAGTTTAACAATTATTGTAAATGATTATTATTAAAATGTAAACTTTATGAGTATATTTCTTTCCTCTCATTAGGCAGGTAAATTTTCAATCAAGCAGCTGGCCCTTTCTTTCAAGATGTGGTTTAAATTTGCAATTAATATTCCATCAATTTCTATTATTAGACTTTAGATGACCAATTGCAGGTTTATTTTTATTTATTATTTAGACTCTGTTGAATATTCAATTTTATAAATAATTTTAAATTAAAATGATTTTGGCATTTGGACATGGACTTGGCAATCTTAGTCCCAAATCATGCCAACCAAATGGAAATACAATTTAAAAGCATTGTCATTGTAGTTGTATTTTTTTACTTTTTCAATCAATCATCACAATGATGTCAAAGTCAATATCAATAAATAAGATGATCAGCAATTCAAAAATTGGTACGCCTTTCATGATTCATAGTGAGTGTAGTAGTATAAGTTGTTTGACATTAATTAAACTTACTCAGTAACTGTTCAGTGTTCTCAATAACTTATAACATTGATGATTAATAATGATTATCTTTGCCGCATGCCTTCTTACTTCTTAGTCTTACTTTAGTCCTTAGCCTTATCTTAGCCTTTAGTGGCTTTAGTAAAAGTAAAAGCCTTTAGTCTTTAGTCATCTTAAATCTTTGCTAATTAATATTTTTTTAAATTAATATGCTGCACTATACTACATTGTCACTCATTGTGTTTTGACAAGTTAGAAACTAATGGTGTACTGTAAAGAAACCTTTACTATACAATTTCTTTGATCAATGAAAACACACAGTTTCAAGTTTCAGTTTAAACGGTTTTTTACAGTAAACGTATGGGCATGGGAATTTCCGAAATGATTCCACGAAATAAAAGGTAAAAATCCATAACATAAGAATCATAAAATTACCGGTACCGTATCAATGGAACAATTACAAATTCAAAATTGACACTATTTCTCTCTCTCTTTACTCACTTTCACACACTCTCCCTCATTATATTATATTATCTCTCTCTGAATTTTATTTATAATCCATAAAGTATTATTTTTGGACAATTTTTAACCCCCCCCCCCCCCCCACAAAAAACAACAAGTAACAAAAAAAAAAAAAAAAAAAAAAAAAAAAAAAAAAAAAAAAAGTCAAACTGCGTCACAAAAAAAAAAAAAATCTTAGGGAAAAAATGTCACAAGAAAACTTTTATTAGCCGTAATTTTCTTTGTAATTCCATTCCATATAGGCCTAAATGTTTATGAAAGATGAATATCAGTAATTGGAACCAAAAGTCACAAGCCGAAAAGTGAAAAGAAGAAAATATTTAAAATAACTTAACGAAACATGAAAATCGGAAAATATATAGGCTATTATAGGCCTATGCAGCATAAATGATAATGCAAGATCACATAAATAAATTGATATATAATTCTTAAACAAAACATTTTACGTGAACAGTCGGAGGAGCACGCTGGTAATAAATTCTTACAAGCATTCGGGAACAAATGAATTTTTATTATATCTTTTGGTCCAACTCTGCATTTAGTACGTTGACGTTGAAGCCATTGATGCTAAACAATCAGAGGCATATTCGTTTTAAATCACACACACACACACACACACACATCAGCAAACAAAAAAATAAAAACAGCCGAGCAATCGCTGAAATCCAACAAGTCATATTTTTGTTGATTGTCTTCATGCATAACAATGTAACAGATTATGAATATGTCATATAATTAAATCTGTGATCATATGTATAGCCTAAATAACACAAATAACACACATATTTATTTTAGTAACAAGTCCAAGCGAAGGTCGAACCACGATCCTATTGAGCTGTCTCTTACTTTTATTTACTGATATAATTTGGTCTATAATAAACATTTATATGCACATACAATTACGTTTAATACAAAGTTTTTCTTTGACTTATTTCATAGTGACTCCCCTCCCCCCCCCCCCCCC